CATACATACATACATACATACATACGTATTCTGTGTAAAAGATACACAAACGCACCACTCACCATACCACAGCACGGTGCATAACGAAAACAGCAACGACGACAACAACAACAACAACCTCAACATCATTCACTTTTCTATAGAATACATTCGTATTCCAGAAACAGAAAATAAAGTGGGTTTGAAATTTCATATGAATTCCTTGGTAATGTACATATTGTAGATACAAACCGGCGTACAAACAGATGTTTATGGGCACACAACGAGTATGTACATATTATACATACATACATATGTATGTAAGTGTATATTTAACCGTAAATATGTACATACATACCAACGTTTTGAAGGCGAATTTTGTTTTATGTGAAAGCGTTAACTGACCAGAATTTTACAAGGAAATTGTAAGAAGTATTAACGGAAAAATCCATTAAATTCATTAAATTCATACATTTCTGCGGAAGCAATTCTGTTTGAAAGTGGTGAGCACGAATATGCGACATCTTGTGCATACATAAATATTGTTTAACAAGAAAATATTCATGTACATACATATATTCATATGCCATGTACATATGTATGTATGTATGAATGTATGTATGTGTATACATGAAAGTATTTCCTCAAAAATGTGTCCGGTGTTCGAAAAACGATTTTGCTTTAATTAAATGGCTAAGGTCATGAAATCATATGTATATTTATTTTGCTTGGAATGAATAGAAAGTCACTAAATTTATAATTTATTGTTCAGATATGGCAAAAGAGTTATTACATACATACATACATATGTCACCTGTAAGCCAATTCGAAATTCTTTTATACACATTTTCAAACGAATACATATATTTATGTATGTATGTATGTATGTATATAGATATATTTGATCATAAATATGTACATAATATGTATGTACTTATCATATAACACCAATTAATTTCTTTTAGTAAAACATTGTGTGCATGTTCATGGTTATTTATATGTGTGTGTATGTCTATGTATAGTGGTATTAAAGCTGACACCGCCCTGTCAATAGACCAATTATGTTAAGACATATGATGAAATACATAAAGTCTTACAGCAACTTCAATATATGCCATGAGAGTATTTGAGTATTCGGCGCTGCTGCCACCCTATAGGAACCGATCTGCAAATTATGAAAGCAAATTTTTATTGGCAACACAATTTGAGCACAAAAAAATTCAATTTTGGAAAATTACAAAAAAAAGGAAATAAATTTAAAAGAAGACAAAAATATAGTTTCACTAAAATTTAGTAAAAAAAAAATATTTTGCTTACAAAACACATGGAAAGTCACCAAGTTGCATAAAACACCAGCTTTCCTATAGGGTACCCCAATATGTCATGTATGTATGTATGTTGTATGTGCTTTTGCCTTGTTAGCATACCGAGCAAACACTTCATGGTAAACGCCAACAAGCAAAAAGAAAACAAAAAAAGAGCAGATGGTAACCAACCAACCAACTACACACTCAGACATGACTCACTACTGTTGGATCCGCTGCTTATAAGTGACAGCGTGAACCACATCACAATATTCTACGAAATTGAAATTATTAACTGCTGAAGCAACCAACTGTCGTCGCAGAATGCCCGTTGTATGCACATTTGTATGTATGTATACATATATGTATGTATGTACATATTTGCAATGAATAAAGGGCAGCAAAAGAAAAGAAATAAAAGATTAATCGAAGATCAAGAAATTCGAGGTATCAGTCTTTTGAACTTTCGCTTGGATTCTAAGTATTTTGCAGACTCATTGTTGAAATTCATTTGTATTGTTTCGCTGGAGTAGCAACGACAATAGACAGCGCATCATATGCGCACATTCAGTAAATCTAGTGAGGAGTACCACATACATACATATGTACATGCAAGAAGATTAATATTAAGTGGAAATATAAATATGTATAATTCGAGATCCTTTGTATAATCCATTTTGAATGCCTAGTTTTTGTTTTAAATACATAAATACATACATACAAAGATATATGTATATGTATGTATGTATGTATGCAGCTCTAAGGTTCTACAGCGCAACTAATAGAGAAGCTGCACAAAAAAATATGGATTTGTGTGTGTTTTCTGGTTTTGAATTTGCGAAAAGTACCGTTGTCTATTTTCAAATAAATATTTATTGATCAACGGTGAAATCGTTTCCACTTTGGCGGAAAACATTTAATGAAAAACGTGTGCTTTATTTGTTGAATAAAGTAAAAAAATAATAATTAGCGAATTACAACAGTATGTACATAAGAAAAATAAGCGGTACATTGCATTGCCGAAATAAACAAATCTTGGATCTAATGCTGCAACTACCCAACTCACGTACCAGCCGTCCATAGTAACCTATCTTATGCGAGCGCCATGTAAACACAAAGTTGTCACCGCTTGCCCGTGCCGTTAGTGACGGTTGTCCCGCAGAAACCAACAAAGATTTGGTTTTTTCCGTAAAACCGGTTCGGCTCATTTCTCATTGCTATGCAAGGTTGCCAGTATAGGCTTTCTTAAAGTTATATTAAATTATCGAAAATAATGCGTATTTTTTTTTTTTTTTTTCAAAAGAACTGAATACTAAATGCGTAACTAATAATTTGTTACCATATAGATCATATATATTTGTCTTGCGTTTATATTCGAACACTTAAATTGTAAAATTTGTTGACGAAAATTATATATTTGTTCAGAATTGTGCAAACCCACTGGCAGCTGGTAACATTTCGCCGCTCTCAGCAGCGTCGATAACTCGTGTATGTATCACGCTCTCACCGTCGGCTGTTATAGACGGATGGTAGGTACAGTGAGTAGTTGCAACATAAATGTCAAAATATCATCGATAAATCGATACACATAACAATTTTAATCGCACAAAAACTTTAGTGGATATTCCTAAATAGTATTTCTCTTCGGCAATTAATTTCTTGTAAGAAAGTATAGATTACTTTGAACGTACAAACATCAAGCTCACTTTCAATGGGTAAGAAATTACATACATTAACAGGCCTATTCTGTCGGGGTAACAAAATTTACTTTGGTATTAAAATTTACCATTCAATAAATTTTGTTACTATTTCTTATTCTGGCTTCACTGTCACCCAGTAAGTTTTGTTACCAGCGAAATAGGAGGTAACAAACAATCAGCTGTTCGGTTGTTAGTTTGAGAAAAAATATGAAAACCAAAATGTATAGACATATTTTACGTCTAAAATTAATTAAAGATGAAGAAAAAGGCGCATGTTAAGAAGTTTGCGGGGAAAAAATGGCTCTTTTAATTTGGAAAATAGCGTTTCATTCACCTTTTTTTTTGTCGTTTAGGCATATTTTCCAAAATAAGATTCAAATTTTTATGATTTAAAAAATAAATAAATAAAACTTATTTATTTTGTTGTGCACCATCTTCCATTTCGATGTGAATATTCTTCTTTTTACTTTACCAAATGTCAAATGTAATTTGACAAGGACGAAAAATGCAGTGCTGCCAAAGTGTTTTCAAACATTGTAACCAGTTCGCGAGAATACCAAATTCAATTTCGGGTGTTAAACAAAAGTAACAAAATTTCTTTACCGGTAACAGTGAGAATAGGCCTGTAAGACCAAAAAGTTTTCGAAAGCTGGCATTTTAATTGCCCGCGATAAAAATATTTTTCAGCTTTTTTCTTTTTTTAAGTTGACAGCACTGCCCTTCATTGCTGTGCCAAAAATGGAGCGCGATCTGTCAAGCAGTTTGTTTTCTGTTGAAATCAGTCGACCTCAGTTCCTCTGCGAATTTTCTTTTACGCCTTTAATCGAGTCGATACAGGTTCCATGGAGTGGTAATTTGAATTTTGGAAACAAAGAAAAGGCGCATTGGGCCAAATTCGGTGAATACGCTGGTTGGTCGGCACATTATCGTGAATTTATATGCTTTTCATTTACCGTCTGTCCCGGTTGAATGAATTCATGATGAACCAAATCCCGAATATCGATAAAAACGATATCCAAGAAGTTACGTATGTATGTGTAAAAAATGTTTAGAATATGAACGGTATATTATTTAACTTCTTTTTTTTTGGTTGGTTTAGTGAGTAGCGCCGACTATTTTATTTTTTTTTTTATTTTTTTTTTTTTACTATTTCAGATGTTTTTTGCACGTCCGTATGTATGTATTTACATATGCAATTTACGTATATATTTATGTTGATTAAATGTGGCGCTTTCATGAATGAATGACGAAAACTGAAAGTCCAAGACAATTACAAAAACAAACAAAACAAAATGTATGTATGTAGCTCATGTGCGCTTGCTTATCGCATCGCGTAAAGTGTGAAATTCGTCGAAAATTGATAATGAATGCCATTTGATTGGAAATTGGTTTTTTTTTTACTTTTTATTTTTTTTTTGAGGACTAAGCACGAAAGCGGAATGCTCTATAAAGACATTCACTCGTGCGTTTTTGTCGCACAAGTGCGCTGATCTCTGGGGTGTGTTGAACAACTTGCATTTATAAAATAAATTAAATTGTTGTTGTCGTATACATTTGCATAACGTGTTGTGCATAGAGTGTGCATACATATAAACATTTATAGAAAATATAAAAATAATGAATATTAAAAAATTTTTCGAGCTGAAAATGCGTATTAAATATTATGATTTTTTTTTATATTTAAAACAAATGAAATAAATAAATAAATATTTTTATACAGAAATAAATGTTTGTGTTGAACAATTTTCTAATATAAACTTGCATCGTGAAGGCCGGTCAGTGTCAGTGAAGCCCGCAAAAAGGTAGTAGCTTAAACCTCTTTGCTGATACATCCGGTCGTGCTTTACTTTTAATTTTTAAATAAAACGTAAAAAAAAAAAATTTATCTGAAAAATTTGCACCAAATTTCATTGTTTTGGTTTGTTTTTTTATTCGTTTTATTTAAATTTTTTTTTATAATTTCAAATAGTCATTTATTCAAACTACTTCTTTCCATTTCAGACATCTACCAAAAAAAAAAAAAATTGTACTCTTTTTAAATAAACCTACAACATACATATGTATGTACATCCATACAAGTGGACTTTAATAAATTTTTGAAAATACTTCCGATGGGGCACCGTTCCAGTAAACTATCTGCTGGCCTCACCAACGGTAATACAAGCATTAACAAGAGCAGCTCACTTAAAGATACAACAGCAACATCAACAAAATTATCTAAACACTCGTCGCGACGATACTCGGCACGTTATCCAAAATCTTGCTCAGCGAAAAGTGAAAGCAATAAGAATTTTAGACACTCAATTGCATCACTGAGCAGCAGTAATAGCACAAACGTCGCTACGGTGTGCGGTGATCAGCAGTTCTTGCCTATTTTACGTTTGGATAGTGAATCGATTGCGGAAAACGCAAATCTGTCATCGGTGGCGAGCAATTCTACGGGTCAAATCATAATAAAAATACACTTTAAAACGCACACACCACCGACAGCTGATACTATGGACAATGCGTCGCAAAAGGATGTCGTGTCGCCAAGTGAACGTGAGACACGTGCACGTTCTTTGTTAAATAGTGAAAATTATCGACGTTTAGTCGATACAAACTCAAATAATGAATTTGTTGAAACCGCTGGCAGTTCTCTAAATTCTGTGCTAAACAATAACAGTAACAGTAACACTAATAATAATAATAATAACAATAGTAGAGCATCGCTTCCAGCACATTTAAATACGTTGCGCATAATAGAGCCTTTATCGCAACAGGACACAACGAGCGCCGCTGGTGCCGTTGATTATTACGAGGTTGCTGAAGAAGCACCCGCTTCAACACACAGTCGACCAGTTAGCAGTCGACGTCAAAAAGCTAAATCGGCTTTTATGAATTTCAGAAGTATGTTGGAATCCTCCAGCAGTAAAGCACAACAGAACAAAGTTACGAATAGTAACAATAATAATCATCATAGTGGCGGCGGCGGCAATGGCAGTAAACATTCCCACAATAACCGGCAATCGCTACCCTTGCCGTCGGTAGAACAAACGCGACAAAACCCATTGCGGCCAGTAAGCAGCAGCGAGACAAGATCAACATTACCCGTGGCTAGTACTTCCAGCATTTACCATGACGGTGCTGTTGTCAGCAATCTCAATCCCATAATGGCTTCCAATCCACATACAACTACTACTCCTCCAACTCCAATATCAATTACTACCTCAAGTGCAGCACTTCCACTATCACCACCGACAACAACAACAACAACAGCAACAGCAACCAACAATCAGCTAGCAATTTGGGCTTCGTCACCAAACCAAGATTTAATAATCTCTTCCATAAACGTAGTGGTGTGTCCTCCAACAGCAGCAGCAGCAGCAGCAGCAATAGCAACAACAGCGGTGGCGCCCACAAATATGTCATCAGCAGAGCATTTAATGTCCAGCGAACATGGCGATAGCCACAGTAGCTGCGGCAGTGCTTGCGTAAGAAGTGTCCCAAAGCATCTAACAACTGGCGAAAGTGCGCAGCCGCAAAGTGGAATGGCGAAAAATATCATACATGCCCTCTCAACAGCGACATCACCGATTGTGCACTCGCAAGTGGACTTTGTCCACTACCTGGTGCCGGATTTGCAGCGTATATTCAATTCGAGTTTCTATTGGGGGAAAATGGATCGTTATGAGGCCGAGCGTTTGTTGGAGGGCAAGCCGGAGGGCACATTTTTGTTGCGTGATTCAGCGCAAGAGGAATATTTATTCTCGGTAACATTCCGAAAGTACGGGCGTTCACTGCATGCGCGCATCGAACAAAGTGGACACAAATTCAGGTGAGATTTCATGGCGAAATAGTTTTATTTTATTTTTATTTTTCTACAAAATTCCGTAAAATGCACAAATAAATAATAATAATAATTTCTCCACCCTCTTCTTACAGTTTCGACTGCCACGACCCAGCCGTATTTAGCACATCCACCGTCACCGGGTTGTTGGAGCATTACAAAGATCCCGGTAGTGTTATGTTTTTTGAGCCAATGCTAACTGTACCATTCCATCGCAAGAGAGTATTCTCATTACAGCAATTGTCACGCGCCGCCATCGTATCGAACAGCACGTACGACGGTATAACGGAACTCGAGCTGCCGGTGCGCTTAAAAGCTTACCTGAAGGAATATCACTATAAGCAGAAATTACGCGTAAAGCTGCTCGATGAGACCTTACTCACATGTACCTAGTGTCCGCTTAACGCGGCCAATTATCGCGCCGCCATTGTTTCGGGTAGCAGTGGAGCTGCAGTGAGTGGTGGTAACGATGGCGGCGCGACTGATGTTGGCCGAATCGTGCTGCATAAAACAACGGCAGCTAGAGCGTTTGCTGTTAATGTCGACGCCGGCATTGTGGATGGCAGCGGGTTGGTGGGTGCGCATTTCGTCGATGGTTTGGTCAATATGCGTGTGGTATCGGTGGAAACGTTGCATGACCTTGTCGATCTTGAAGATCTGCAACATGCAAATACCTTCGTGACATATGTACAACACTCGGCAGTGGTGGAGCAATTGAAAAACAACTGTACAACGGATGATGGTGTGATGAATCGGCATAAGCGACATCGACGTCAACAATTGTTGAAAATACCAAATCGAATGACAGAACTGCTAAGCCGTGTAACAGCTAATTTGAACTGTTACAATAATGCGCAACGCCAACGCAGGCATCGACAGCAACAGCAACAGCAACAACAAGCTCAAAGCGATAATGTGCCATCACATGGTCCACAGCAGCAGCAGCATCAAAACTAAACTGAATTAAATATATGTATATAAATATATATATACACACGTCAGACAATCCCAGTGAATATGAAAATCAAAATTACAACAAAAAAACTCCAAATGTTTCGTGACGGTTCGGTGCGCTTTATAATAACCTAATAACCGCCAATACAGCGCCATATAGTGCCACCGTCACACTGAACTCTTTAAATTGTACATTATAAAGTATCAAAATAGTATTAAGCAGCAGCATTTGTGTCACGGGTGATCCTTATATTGCAGCTAACAAGGGGGGATCTTCGTTTGAATGTGTGTGCTCTAAGCGCGCACTCGCCGAGGCCCTCCTGCGCTGGTTGCACACCAAAACGCGTTTGCTAAAATAGTATTTTTTTTTTGCTAGTTTTCTGGTAGCTTAATTTAATAGTGAATATATAAATCTATATATATACATATATATACTTGTATATCGCTCTAAAGAAAAATGAAAAATTGTATGAAATATTATATGAGATAACACAGATGTACATATGTATGTTAATTATACGCTTGTTACTACATTAATTCATAGAATTTCCTTTTTGTATAATTTACTATACAAAAATCGCTAGTTTTACGTTGTAGTTAATGACATTATTTATTTTCCCCTGTTAATGTAAATCGTTTTATTTATTACATTTTCGATAGTCTTCGCCCAATTTCATTATGTACGTACATTCTTGTTGCTATATATATTATACTTATATCCATATCACCATTTCTCCTTCATTTTACCATTTATTTATTTATTTCTCTTTGTTATACTCATATGCATTGCATATGCATTACAAATTTACACATAAATTGTAAATAAGTATGTGAACAAAATTATTGTTAATGAAAAAGAAGAAGAAGAAATTGTATGTACTTTGATATTGTTCTTATATCATTTATATTGAAATGCTGGAATATTACGATAATTATTGATTGATTGTTAATGTCGGCAAGTGGAGGGAGCGAAGTTTCTAGTAAAGCTTTTTGGATAAAAAAAAAGTACAATATACAATTTACAGTCGCAGTGTTCAGCTGTACTTACATATCCATGACTGTAAACTGAATTTATTATAAATGCAATTGTTCAAACTCGAGTTGAAAAAAATATATATAAATAGAAAAGCAAAAAAAGCAGAAAACAAATATATAACTAGAGGACAAAAAATTTTAAATATTTTGTTTTTATTTATTTATTTGAGAGTGCCTAAGAAAACTGAAAATTGTTTTTCAAAATGCTCGAGAAATGAGCACAAATGTCCGAGTACTCGTCTTTGGAATTGATCGAAAAGATTCGAACAAAATATTGAGCTCTAGTAGGTAGGTATCCTGGAGAAATTCGAGTGCAAGGAATATGATTTAGATGACCTTGGTCAAACACAAATGTAAGGTCATCAAAAATGAAGGGCAATGTCGAGGAAGCGCGGCTTATAGAAAACAATAGTATTTCCCTCGTGTATGTGCCGAATTTCATGTCAATCGAACAATACGAATAGGTCAGTCCCTGGTCCATTTCGCAGTGAGAGAAGTAGTCTCCCTGTTAATCTAAACTCTCTCTCCCCCTTAACCAAACACGGAAGGCACATTGGTTTTTGCCGCCCCCATCTTTTACTCATCACAGCATTTAGGAGCACATTAACTTGGCGTTCGCAACGTGCAACTCCACTTAACGCGATAAATATCCCAGTAATTCAAGGTATTTACCAAAATCGACTCTGCGCACAACAGTCTTGGTACGCAGTGCTACTATCGGCTATTGCGCGATCTCCATTATCGCCGGATTTGAAGATGCGAACCATGAATTGCCCGACTAGTCGACAGTCATCGGTATTTTTTGGAGGTCAAAGACCAAAACTCTGAAAAATTAATCGAGAATGGTGTTCTCTCTCTGATATTGTTTAATTTTTTACTTCAAAACACCATTCACCACCACCCAGCGCCGCTAGACAGAATCACTTACTGACAGGCTCTAAACACCATTCAAGGAGAGTGCGTCAACTGAAGAGCTCGAAAGACCTGAACTGATACTATTAAGGTCTGGATTTCGGTAGCAAACTACGTAGCAAACCCCGCACGACATTGCTTCATATGCACACGAAAACCAACTCATCTAAGACCGCTCTCTACTTCCTTCTGTACCAGTCACAACAGTTGGTTCGTTCTGGATCTCCCGTGAGATGACGTCGGTAGCGTAGATTAACTTTGCCTGGTTCTACGAACACCACCCAACAACAACAACATCAACTAGTTAATCTCAGTAAATAGCAACCGACTTTATATGAGCTCATTTGACAAAAAATAAATAATTGAGCTTTGGTTTTTAGAACGCGCAGCTTTTTGCTTTGGTCCCCAACCCAAATGTCTCACAAATTCCTTGAAAGGTTCAATAAAAAAAGCATTGAGAAGTCCGCGCGTTGCTAGTGAAAACAGTGTTCATATTTTCCTCGAAGTAGGTAACTATTACCTCAAATAACAACCGACATCTTACAGCGCGGAATGCACCTCCTTCCCAAGTCCAAGCAACAACTTCAACAAATATGCAGGTTGGACGATATTCGCACGCCTTAAACCGATTCACAACTGAGGAACTTCGTACACACTCGGCGCGGTTAACAACACTCCGTAGTGAGAGACGGCTGTAATTAGAATTTGCTTTTCTATATTTTTAGAATGTTGTTCGGATGAGCGTTCCAACCGATGAACATCCGTAGAGCTAACTATTCAACTAGTGTGGCGGTTCCAACTACCCAAAAGCTCCAAGTCAATCAACATGCAGTACTTTCGATTCATTGATTCATATTGGTTTAGTATATTAACTAATTTATTAAAGATATATGTACATACACACGAATATACAAAGACATCACCTCTTCCGATCAAATTTCTTTGCACCGTTTAACTATCAGCCAGTGCTTGGAGCTCCGTACTTCATAACCTAGCAAAGGTTTCTACTTGAAGGACTCGTGAAAGTTTCTCCTCGCTAGTTCACTGCAACAGCAAGTCTGTTTCTGACGCGTTCGCTGACATCAAATCCTGTTCCAATTGGGTCGTTGTTGCCGCAGTTTGATTTAGGAACAAATCAAAGTCATAAGCACCATTTTGCGCGGCCACCGAATCTTTCTGATTTGTCAAAGTTTGTGGATTGGTCATAAGATCCACCCCAAATAGACCCAACTCTTTAAGTAACGTTTCATTACTTTCCATGCATTGATCATTTGTCGTGTCCAGTTCGTCTATTAGGTTCAATTTTTGTTGTATATTTATAACCGGTGCTGGCGCTTCCACAGCTTCCAAGCCGCAAACAACTTCTGTATTTGACGCACGCAAAGTGTTGGCTTCAGAGCGTGCGATAGTCTGTTCGTCCTCCTCTTCATCTAGCTCTTGTGGTTTCAACGTACTCGATTTATATTCAAAATCAGTTTCCTTGAAGTCAACCTCAATGGGGAAAAGTGGCGGCAGCGCTTCTATACGCTCCACCACGGAACGATTCAGTTGTGCCAAACTGTCGAGTAGACTACGCAATTGCTTATTTAAATCTGTCGCGTGCTTGCACTCCAACAATTCCATCTTCTCCAATACATCCGTACGCAATTTGGCAAATTTATTACGCGCATCCTGTCGGCAACGCAATATCAGTCTGTATTCATAGTTACCCGTTTCAACACGATACAGTGGATCCTGTAAAGCAGCGAAGCTGTGCTCCTCATCGTCCATTTCTTTCACTTTCAAACAGTATGACAGATAAGTGAATTTCGCATCGGCGTAACGCCGTACCGTTAATTTGGTATCCGGTATCGCCTTATTCAGGTACGTGCCCAAGTCGGAGAGGACGGGTTTTATTTGTTTTATTATATTAAGTCCATCTTTTTCCAAGTTACGGTGGAACTCACCAAACATGCGAAACGCCTCGGAGGCGCGCTGCTGTGGCTCACGTGCACTAATCTGCGTGAAGCAATCGCCAAAAGCCTTATATGTCTGCAGTAGATCGTAATATGCCTTTAGCATACGTCGTGCATGCTCCACCAAACCTTTATACATTAACTCGGTGCCCTCAAGCTCCTCGAGTCGCTTCACCAACGAATCATTACAGAGTATGGCACGTGAGAGACCCAATGTGTCCGCCGTGTTGCTGGACATATTATCCACAATGCGATGTTTCAATTTCTTGAGTATAATGTCAAGCGATTTGCCTTGCTCTGGATCAGCATGCAATTTGTTGTAGTGTATGATGACATTTGTGGTGGCTGCCTGAATCATTTTGGCAACTTCAACTTTGGTTTTACCCTTCACACTCACCGAGTTCACAGCTAACAGTTCGTCGCCGCTTTGTAGTGAGCCCTCGCGTGCAGCTGGTGTGCCATCAAAGACCTTTTGAGAGAGAGAGAGAGAGAGAGAGAGGAGAGAGTTCATTTTGAAGCAGTTTTTATTAACTAAAATTTGGACTCACTTGCACTATGTAAAGGCAGGGGCATAGTGGTGCGCCGCCTCCAATGCTGATTCCTATCAGATTGCTTTGATCCTTTGTAATTACCACCGAACTCGTTGTCACCGTCATGCCCCTGTGTGTTATGAGGAGTATTAAAGAGAATTACTTTCGGTTTATCTAAATATTTTACTGTTCATAATATGCGACTCCAAGGGCTATTCACTTATGCTATTTATGGTTATTAAGTACTTATGGAATATGACAAAGATGCACTGGACATTTACTGATGGATCAATGGCGTGCGATATAAGAAGAAAAGCTAGTAAAAAAGAGGAAAGCGGATGAGTTCGAGTAAGTATCTTAAGACCAGCGAACTGGTACTAATAACTTGAAACTAATAAAAAACATCTAAATAGCCAATTTATAATTTTGAATGTAACGGTGTCGTTTCAAAAGGTGCGGCTAACGTAACTCTGCAGAGTGTACGCTGAAAGCTGAGCCAAGCGTAAAGCTAGTTTCGATGGGCCCTAATTAATATTTAGCACGGCTTCCTCTCGAAGAATCCCAAAGCCAATTAACCGGAAGTTGAAATTTTCCAAGCTTCTGCTCTTTGTGCAGTAGGACGAGAGTGATGAGCGACTTGTAGGGTTTGGTCTTTCTTGTCGATTAGTCGTTTGCTACTTTAGCCGTTGGGCGTCGTTTGCAGCACCAAGTGAAGTTAGGTCATTCGTCATTCGTCACCTGGACATTCCTGAACTTCCTCTTCCACTGCTTATACCAGCAGATACTGCAGCGAATGCTTTTAGATCTGTAGCATTTTCATCCATAATAGATCAGCTCGTATGCCTCGTAAAAATAATGGCTCCATCGACTGTGGTGTTAGCTATTGATCTTGAAAAACCTCTCTCGTTCTAGCCTCTGCACCATATAAGCCGTCGGGAGTGATGAGCGGTGGTACCTTCTCTATTTAGCTCTGCATTAGGTTGAATAATTCATACTAAATAGAGAATCATCTTGTCTGAGTCGTCGCTTTCTACCGAACTGCTCGGAGGCCCATCCCAATTCTGATAGTGCTTTTGGTTTTGCTGTCCAAGTTTTATGGATTTAGCAAACTTAGACATATTCGCATGGAGGCAGCTTGTTTTTGTGATAGTGAAGTCAACTTTAAAATCGACGTGAAGGTCGATCATTTTCTCACGAGGTTTTTGTTTAAAAAAAAAAGCTAATAGGTCTAAGCTCACACCGAAGAGGTTCGAGAATTTTGTTGGCGGTGTATTTTAGACGTTCTCACACTAAAAAAAAAGGAATGGTCTGGCTTACTTTCGTTCAATCAAGTTCTGTCTGCGCCAGTTTTTCACCGCCATGCTTGAATATCTCAACCGGTCAGTCATCGGCTTTGGTTTTCTTCACGCGGGCATCGTATTGTTACATTTTCACTGCAGTTAAGAAGGCTAGAGTAGTGTTGCCGCCATAAACTCAAATTAGTCTCTGCTTTCTAAAGGCTGAAAATGCGTTATGACTTTACTCTTTAATTCTCAGTATAATTCTTTCACATTGTGAGGTGCGCAGTATTTCTGCTCTCACTGCAGAACGACAGTCCCCATCGTACCTGTTAATTTTTCAATCTGCCGCATCTAGGCAGTATGAAGTACCGCTACACAGTTCCCTTATGCCGAGTTTTTAATGAGAATTCTCACAGAGCGGGGGTGAAAGTCGATGAACGGATAGAACATTGAATATTAGAAGGCAAATTCAGCGCAATTGAGCTCAGGACGACTTGCAGCGTGCGCTCTGCGGGTGTACTTATGCTAAAGCCCGATTAGAGGGGCTTCCCGCTTTTTCATACGAGGCCCTACTGTGCGAGTATACGCAGGATTTTTTTAGTTAACGGTTATCTGGAACAACACAAAATATACAATAACAAAAATGAATAGATTTAAACATTTTTGTCTGTCATTCCATCTGTATATATACATACAAGATAACTGGATATGTTGAGGAAACTTGGAATAAGATAGCATCCTTATTCTATGTAACGGTAATTATGCAAGAGAATATTGAAATATTGAAAATTATATTACCGCTGTTTGGGTAGAAATGTCAATAAGAATTAATCAATAATGATATATCAACTTTGCGCTCTCTCAGTACAAAGCTTACCAGCTTTTTGCCTCACCTCTTACCAGCATTTTTGCCTCACCGGAAGCGGTTAAGTAAAATTCGGTAACAATTGTTTCTGCCCAGCAGCTCAGCGAACAGACTTATTTATAGCGTAAGGCAGATTTGATGGTAACAATAATATTGGAAAGAAAAATATTAAAGAGCACGACCCACTTTTGGATCCAAGCGTATATCGAATTCGTTAAAACTGCAATAAGGAAAGCTTCATTCTCTATCATTTCTTACTTCCCACCAATTCTTGGTCCTCCAATTTCTTCCTCTAATGAAGATCCAAAATTTGTAGACAGCCCAGCAAGAGTTCTTTAAATATGAAAGCTCCTTTTAAGACACCCTTTACATTCATACATGCAACTACATCAATATATACATATGTACAGCTATTTTTATGACTTTCAAATTGATAAAATCAAAACATTTATCCTTTTAAATTGAAATTCCATATTTTTAACGTTCACTAGGCACTACTTAAATACCAATATATATATATATATATATATATATGCATATATTGCGATGCACAAATAAAAGCAATAATGAATTATTAAATTAAAATTTAACTTCTCGATCACTTGGCTCGCACTTTAAATCACTTATTGCACATATTTTTAAACAAAATATATAAAAAAGAAAGAAATTTTCAATTCAATTCTAAGAGCGTATCAACAAATTAACTTCACAGCTCAACACTTGCGTGTATGATGCTGAATATGCATAACTAAGTGGACATTTAATGCTTTTTTGCTATTCTTGTACAAAAATCGTAGAGCAAGAAACTCAAGATTCTTTTGAATGGGGTCTCATCATTACATGGTTTGTAGAATTCGAAGTTACATATGTATAAAATAAATATTCAACTAACCACTTCTTTACATATAAATTTCCGAGCTAAGATTTTTACATATACATATATGTATGTTCTACTTCTATACTAGCTTGCTTAAAGTACTAATTAATGCACATATTAGATTTAGGTAAATCCGCCATTGGAGCATAGTAAATATGTATATGTGAATAATTTCTTTATAACATCTTGGTTCGCTACATTTATGCCTCTAGCTCTCGTATGTACTTATGTATATATTCATCATTCATGACTTACAGTCGCTCTAACTCAAATTTCTGCCTATCGAACTCATTTAAACGTTCGCCCAGAAAGGGTATAACAACATTAGTTGCCACAGCATCATCATTATTGCCAGCCATCGTACTGTCTTCGGTGTCCACCACCAATTCTATCTCGAAATCAAAAGTGGCGGCATCTACATTTAGCTCACTCTGCTGCTTCTCTGGCGGTTGCTGCTTTTCCGGTAGCGAAGAACTTTGCAAAAATGTATGCCGTTTCAAATAATATTTTTCTGCTTAGAAAGTGCTAGCAGTCTTTTGTACTTACTTTTCGCTGAGCAACAGTGGGGTAGTGGCGACTGGCTCCGATCTTATGTTTTTACTACATTAAGGCATTTTTGTTTTAGTAAAAGTTTTCAGCAAAGTAGTTAAAATGGTTAAAATTAAAATAGTTCATTGTGGAAATGAAAATTTAGAAAAAGAAGTTTAATTTAGAACACACACCAAAGTAGACGTCACGTCACATATGCAATGATATTGATTAATTTTACACAAACCACAGATATGTACATATACAAATTGCATATACATATGTTTTGTTTTGCTCGGCATTTCTTGTAATCAACTTACATTTTATCCTCTTCAAAGAAGAAATCATCATCTGTATCCGTTAGCATTTCAACAGTTTTTAATTTATTGCACAAACGATCAAATATGTAAACTTTTTATTTTCAGCTCCTTCCGTTCAACTGTTGAGAAAAATTGCTGCATACTTCTAAGCGTTGACGTTTAATAAAAAAATACACATTCACAATGATGCAACGTCATATGAAAATAGAGACACATTGTAATAGTTATTATTTTAAATAATTGGAACTAAAACGAAAATAATATATACATAAGAGGGAAAAATAATTGTTAATTGCGTCGTTCCCAAGAAATGGCCTGATATATAAATAATCACACATTTCTTTCATTTCTGTCAAAGAACTTTCTGTGTTGACATGCTCCGCACCCTAAAGTAAAGTTTGTAGTTCACCGTAAATAGCAAAGTGCAAACAGCTGTTTCTTCACATGTCTTCTATTGACAGTGTCGGTTTCTTTAACATAAACATCGATTAAAAAATGTTAAATTTATTAAATAAAACCAAAAGTATTTTAATACCAGCTTTGCGAAACACCACAGTCCGATCGACACACGATGCTGTCAAAGAGGCGACACCGCTAGTAGAAGTAGCAGCTCCCACACCCCCACTTATATTACCACAAAACTGGTCTCAATACGAACCTGTCAATCGTTCGTTGGCTAGACAAGTTTGGATTGAAAACATCGATGCAATACCAGAACGTAAATTAGGTCTTATTGAATTGCATCCGGATGTGTTTGCAACCCAACCCCGTGTTGATGTCATACAGGAGAATGTGGAATGGCAGCGCAAATATCGTTATGTAAGTTTTGCACACACCAAAACTCGAGCTGAAGTTCGTGGCGGTGGACGCAAGCCGTGGCCACAGAAGGGAATGGGCCGCGCAAGACATGGTTCCATACGTTCTCCACTCTTTCGCGGTGGTGGCGTTGCACACGGTCCTCGCTCACCCACAACACATTTTTATATGTTACCATTCTTTAAACGTGTGATGGGTTTAACGGCAACGCTTAGTGTGAAATTGGCACAAGACGACCTACATATCATCGATAGCGTTGATGTGCCCACACGTGATCCTGAATTCTTTAAAGAGTTAATAAAGGAACGCAATTGGGGACCATCGGTTTTAATTGTGGACAAGTATTAATAGCTATTATATTCGATTTTGTGTACAAATTATAATATTTTTTTTTATAAATTATAGAGACGACATATTCCCCGAGAACATTTGCTACGCCACGGACGCGCTGGGTTATGTGAACTTAATGCCATCGTATGGACTAAATATATATTCAATGTTAAAACACGATACATTAGTGCTAACAGTAAATGCCGTTAAACACATCGAGGAGCGCTTACTATACCAGATGAATCGTACAGACGCAACAGCGAAAGGTGGCAAATTTAAATTGGATCAAGTTTAAAGTATTTTTTTGCTACTTTTCTTTGTTTTACTTGTTTTGCTTTTTCTCAAAAATGCTTCATCGCTTTCCAAATAATTCAAAATGTTATATAAATCTGTAAGGATCGTATACAAGTGAAAGAGGCATTTATATTAATATTTAATAAATGATAAATATTAGAGAACTAATTTTGTTAATTCGTACCTTTAGCTGCGCGCATCCTCTTTAACTTATCCAGTGGTATAGTAACCATACCAGATCTAAATGCATCAGGTCGCATACCTCTCGATTCGGGCATCGGTGTTATGCTGGGCATTGCTGGCAATGGGCTATCAACGCCCATCAAACGATTATCTGGAAACAACGGAGCCTCTGGTGGCATCAATTGATTTTCAGGCAAAAATGGGTAGCCATAACTAGAGTTTTGGTATTCTACTTAAAGCATTGTTAATTAAAAAAAATTTAAAAATTCGCCTTTACCAGCTCAGCAAAACACTTACGCATAGTTGTTGGATACGGATCGGAGAAACCATATTGACCATAGTAACCCGGCATAATAGAATTGCTTGGCAAAGGCAATGTGGTGTTCGGTTCTATTTGCCGCCAGTTATTTAGCTCATTGGCGTAGTTAACATGGGATACTTCTGATCTTGTTGACGTGGTCGATGCTCTGCATGCAACACTATAACCATTTCTAAAGGTATACACACTGGGCCGAGTATTGCCCGAGTAGTTGGAAGGCACACTTTTGTCACTCATGGTCCTCACATCCAATATGCTACCACTGATTTTATTCGGCCGTAAAAGATTGAACATTTTCTTGAATGCAGACATGTGTTTCCTCAGATTCAAGTTTTAGCAAGATTTTGCTGAAGTGATAGAGAAACGTAACAAAATTTTCAAAATTTGCGCCGAATGTTTACAAAAACAATTTTGCTAACTATTTTAACGGCTTGGACAAAATATTTCTGAAGCAATAATTTTTTCACATAGATTTGTATGTATGTATGTATGTATATTTTTTATTTAACTAAAATGTTGTTTTCATGACGTCAAATAGTTAGGAATGTTAACACAGAAAAAAAAATAAAACTTCTTCAACAGACGAGTCCATAGCAAATTCCCAATATTTTTAAATTTTAGCTTTTTTAAGAAAACTTAATGAATTAATTATTATTATATGCTTTATATGTTTTCTATCCATTAAGCTGTTTTTTTTTTCATCTCCTCAATGTTTGTTCTAAACGGAACGATCAAAACCGACATAATTGAAAAGGCGAACCATGAATTATCTGAGTTGTCGAAAGTCATCGGTAGACTTTCGAAGTCAGAAATTTAAATGTTCGAAGTTTTAACGAAGGAGGTTCTCAGAGTGGAGTTCTCTCCTTACGATTGTTTAATTTTCACATCTAAAGGCTCCCTCTACCACAGAGGGACTCTCCACGAACTAATATACCCATCTTGGCGTCTACCCCGGATGTTGATATCCTCAAAATTAAACTGCCATCTCTCCCGACCTTTCTCCGCCTTCTCCAAACTTGAATTACTTGATGCCCTAAACGGATTAAGGTCGTCTTTACCGATTAAAATCCGAGTCAACTCCGGTGCATAGGACTAGCTGTCGTGAGAGCCCGGGCTCTGCTCGCAAATCGTCCTAGTATCAGTGAATCTGTCAAAAGCCTTTGACATTGTCAATCAATCAGTGCTAGTAACGGACATTAAGAACTTCTCATTACCACCACGATTGAAGAGATGGAAGTAGACCTGACTGGTCTACAGTCATCGGTGAAATGTCCTCTGCCCACATCCTATACTTTTTGAAAATGCTGCTATTTCGCCGATCTTTGTCACTACTTCACAGCGCGACAACTTCAACAACAACCTGCGAAGGAATACCGGTTCGAACTCGATGATGTAAAATGTCTATAATAAACCACCCAAAGTTTTTAGGTGTCGCATTCAACGGCTTGTGGTCTACTGAACTGAAGCTTATATTGAATGGAGTCCGCCGTACCCAAAGAATGACCAGCATGTAATAAGTACCTGCACGGCAATAACCACCTCCTCGTATGTCCTCTAAAACATATTCGTCTAACAACCTTTTAGGTCTGAGGCCGTAGAAACAGCTCATTTCCTCAGCCTCGCCTTAAATGATCTCAACGGCATCGATAACCTTCGCCTGATACTACTAAGCGGGGTTGCCTAGCCGACCTTTTTATGCTCAATACAAGGTTAAACTCTAATCTAGACTAGGCCTCGGTCAACTCTAACAACGAACGATTTGAGCGCACTGGAAATCAGAAAGAAAGTATGATAAAATCTTTTTTTATTAAAACTTTATTAAATGGTACTTTGAAATTAGTCAAAAAGTTTTGGTTTTCATAGATAAAACTAGAAGTCGCAAGACCCCTGAGTTAATTTAATTTTGCCTCGATGTTCTATCATACAACCAATTTGGTCATTTTTATCTTAGTTAGGGTCCAACAGACGCTCACGTATCATCCAGCGCAGCTCGGCATGTGAGTTCTCGCCAGGAATTTGGTCGCGAAAGTAATTCCACTCACTTTGGTAGTAGTGATACAAAGCGACCGGATCTTTACTTAAAGGACGGCGGCGACGCGTTGCTGTGCAATGACGAGGTACTGGAAGAGAAAATGAATTGATATTTTTAGAACTCCAGATTAACTCCAGCAAATGTATTTTTTGATTTAAGAATAACTTTTTTTTATTTAGCTTACTCATAACACCCATCGATCTGGCTGTAGTGTAACTGCCACCACTTGGACTCCGCCCGCGCGCGCCACGCTCCCGTGACTGCGATCTAGTTCGTCCACGACTGGTTGTTGCCTTCCTTTCCACTCTTGCAACACGCTGCGTAACACCATCATTTTTCGTTTCCGCGCTTGTTTTGGACTTTCCTTCGCTAGCCGCACTTGTGATGGTTGCGGCTTGAGCCTGCTTTTGACTAAAATCTCCAGTTGTTGTTGGATGCGACGAGCTACGTTGACTTGATTCTGGTTCGGGACCTCTTATTTCTTTACATTCAGCAAAAGGTATGCGCCCACTAGTTTGCCAAGCTTTCTCACGAGACAAATTTTCTCCAACAAAGTTTTTAGCCGTCTGTTTCTCTTTCTGTTGTTGTTTTCGTTTTTGATTTTGATTTAAACGCTTTGATGTGTCACCAGCATCGAAAGTACGTGCCGTTTGACCTTCATTCCCTTTCTTCGCCATTACAGCTCGCGAATCCGCTTGCTGTTCATGCTCCACCTGATTAAGAGGTCGTAAGACATGTTGATCATCGGATCGTTTTGATTTTACTTCGTCGGTGCGTTCATGGCGAGCATTCTCCTTTCCGACTTTGGCGCGAAAGCTGGCCGTGGTGCGTTTGAAGAGCCTTTCGAAATAGTCCTCTTGATGGGCGTTAATGCCCAGCGTCTCCTCGTATTTGATTAGCTTTCGAAGATCTACGGATGGTGTGAATGATGATGGTGATTTAAAAATAATTAATATCTACAACGTTTTGAAATTGAAAACTAATTTTGAATTTTTACGATTTATAATATGGTTATTCAGTTTCTAGATGATAATACCAAGTTCGTTAGGTTACTTTCGGATTAGTTATCTATATGGATCACACTACCATAGCCGTTGTAATGTACAGTGGGGATGGACTTTTATATAGGACTTAGATTACTCCACTACATCGGAAGTGATAAATCGTAGCAAAAAACAAAATCTTTTCACACACTTTTACAGACACGACTACTGCCGAAGTCTATTTCTATAAGCTAACCGTTGCAACAGAGAAAAATGTCATTAAAACCTCAAACAACGTCGTGAAGGAGGAAGGATGGCCGCTTAGAACATTTAATAATGGAGCCCTGTCGTTCGGAACTGGATTCACGACTTTCAAAGCTGGAAAATTAAAATGCAAGACAGTCCCATTAAGGCTGTCCCTTCATATAGCACGAGGTCGGCCATAGATTCAGTTTTACTGAGTTCCAGAGCATTTCAGGCAATGAGGTAGCTGATGAACTGGCTAAAGAGGGTGTCCCTTTAGAACAGGACGATACTATGGACTACGCGGGTGAACAGACTTTATGAATGTACATCATGTGAAGGTGTAGAATGTATTCTGCGAGTATCCGGTATTTAGCAGGCAGATGCTGATCTTACTTTGCGAGGGAAAGATCGAGAGCGATCTTCCCCACGACGTAGTAACGGCCTAACGGCGACAAGGGATTCTAGCGTTCGTACAGAAAAAATAAAACAGAAAAAAACAATAACGCAAGGGAGGCGACGAAGCTTAACAGGTTCAGAGGTATGTCACTGGAAGGGCAGCCTTTTTTGCAAAACATGCTCGTTTTGATAGCAACCGTTCCACCCACCAGCCATAGAGCTAACTAAGAACGGAGAAGATTGTTCTCCACTAGTGACAGCATAAAAAAGGTAGATCAGGTCTTTACTCGCTGAGTTGCATGCGGATGGAGGACCTGGAAAATAGAAGACGAGAGGGTGAGCCTGCTCTCACAATCAACAAGGTCATTCAAAGCAAAAAAAAAGGACGAGTGACGCAGAAGCAGTTCATGCACGATCGTAGAGGGCCTTAGATCTCCGTTAGACCGCATTTTTCAAAAGGGACTACAAAAGGACGACATTGGTTCATAACCTACTGCAATAAAGTCGAAGGTCCTAAAACACACCGCAGGAAAAGTAAAAGCTGTCAGTAATAGCAGCACCCAGAGAACATACTTGTGAACAAACAAACCTAACCAACCGAAGGGAGCGAAGGGCACATGACTTCGACTCCAAGTGAAAATAATGAACGAGTATATAAATACAGAATGTTGCAAAATGCCACACTCGTAGAAAAAGATATTGTCAGATACCTGGGCAGCACAGAATCCACCAGAAGACAAGCAGAAGAGGCAGAATAACAGCCGGAACCGGCCACTCAGCGATCAATCTATACAGTCTGTTCTTGAATTGAAGAATAACATTAAGAGCTTTCTAAGCCTTTTCTAACTGCATTCCAAGCATTTCGAACTTTTAAAAGTCGCTCCCAAAAACTGCAAACGACTTTTAAAGGTTATGCTAACCTCTCGGGTATCAACCTTGTAGGTTCTAGCAAAAGACGAGGCATAATTAGCGAAGGCAGAGTCGCTCCAACCATAACCAAAGTATTGGATCAGTGCATAAGTTCGTGACCGATTTCAAGTGCAAACTAAAATTGAAATTTTTTGAAGAAAGCGCTTTTATTAATCAATTATGTATTCGCCATCATGTTCGGGAATCCACTCCCAACGTTCAACCAATTTACGGATGCCTGATTCGTAGAAATCGCGCGGTTTCTCGTTGAAAAAGGTGTCAAGGTGGTTTTTGACGTCTTCCACATTTTTAAATTTTTTTTCCATTCAAATTGTTCTGCAGCGATCGAAACAAATGATAATCAGAAGGTGCAATGTCGGGTGAATATAGGGGATGCGGCATGATTTCAAAATTCATCTCCTTAAGTTGGGCAGGGTCGGTTTTGCAACATGTGGCCTGGCATTGTCATGATGGAAAAGAACGCCTTTGCGATTGGCCAAAATCGGACGTTTTTCATCAATTGCTTTCTTCAATTCGACCAATTGCTGACAATACTTGTCGCAGTGATCGTTTCTCCAGCTGGCAAGAGCTCAAAATAGATCACGCCTCGGATATCCCACCAAATGCACAGCAGTACATTCATCGGATGCAATCCACCTTTTGACATCGGTTCCGCCCCTTCGTGTGCCTGTTTCCATGTTCTTTTGCGTTGAACATTGCTGTACAGGATCCATTTTTCATCACCAGTCACGAGCCGATCCAAAAAAGGTTCGTTTTTGATCCGTCGAAGCAAAAAAATTGCTGTTGACATACGGTCCACTTTGTTTTTTTCACTCAACTGATGTGACACCCATGTATCGAGCTTCAAAGTGTACCCAACCTTATTTAAACGACGAAACGCAGTTGATCTGTTGACGTTCAATTCACTGGCAACCTCTTCCGTCGAAATACGTGAGTTATTCGCAACTAAAGTCCTTAGAACATCGTCGTCAAGCTCAGAAGGCCGTCCACTGCGAGGTTGATCTTCGAGGTTAAAATCTCCAGAACGAAATTTCGCGAACCATTTTTTTACTGTGTGGAGTGCTGGAGCACGGTCCAAATAAACTTCGCGAATATCTTTAGTTGCAGCGCCTACTGTTTTACCTTTGCGGAATTCGTATAACATAATATGACGCATATGATCTTTTTCGTTGTCCATCTTCCATGCATCTTTTCACTAAGCAACTCAAATCAAAATGAAATTATTTTATGCTTGATTTACAGTTCGGACTGTCACCTTTCCAACGATATATAATATGTATATATTTCTTTCACAAGCGCCACTCTCAAACGATTCGAACGGCATCCAGCGGAATCGGGCACGAACTTATGCACTCATCCAATACAAGCAGTTCAGAATGCAGTGCCAATCAAGACCAGCCCTTTCAAGTGTGTTCCGTTCCAGAAACTTTGAGGGGCATTACTGAAGGGAGTATTTTTCCCCGTGGTAAAAACGAAAATCCGTTTTTGAAATTTACTTCAACGTCGTTTAGTAAAAGAAAGTGAGCACACATTTTTTTTTTTTAATTAAATATTAATAACTTTCGACATTTTATTATGTTAACTTAAATATTTAGCAGTGTGTGTTTTGGTTTGATCATATTCATACTTATAAAGTATAAATGACACGATTATGAAATTTATTAAATATTTTCAATGCGAAGAAATGTCGCTTTAAGAAAGAAGACAAATACATTTTCAATTTGCGATTTGCTTTAATATTTTATATTTACTTTTTTTATGTTTTTTATTAATTTTATATTTATAGTTAAGTTCATTTGATGTTTGTTTTTGTGGTTTTTACTTTCTTTTACAGAATATATGAAAATTATTTGTATTTCTCTTTGTTTCGCTTCAATCCACTGCAACACATACATACATACGAGTAATGCATTTAGGATTTCACTGTTTTAACGTATACGATTACAATATGCTACTTAAACACTAAATTTTACATTACATCATTTATGCGTAGAAAAAAACTAATTAATTAATAAAATTCAACAAAATTCTTTACTTCAGCGAGCATATTTCTTTAACGAAAAATTAAACGATCATACATATTTTGTATTCATAGGGTAAATTATTTAGCAATGGTTTTATAATAAAAAAAAATCTATTAGGAAACATTACATACAAAATAAACACTAACTTTAACTACATCATATACTGTACATAGTGGAAATTGAGGCTAGTGCATGGGGCAGCGAAAGCTTGTGGTACTTTACTTATTTAGTAACGTACTTGCGTTTTCTCATTCTTTAATTGATTTCTTACAAAATTCCTAAACATGTATGTATGTGTGTGTTATACTTTTAGTCAGACAATGCTTAAACTACATACATTTGCTTTATATATAATATATACTTTTTCAATCACCAAAAACTTTTCACATCTCTATCATGGTTTACAGTTGGTAGTTGTTGCTGTTGTATATTTTGCCCTAAAACACAAAGATTCGCTTAACAATTTACAATTACAAAGTACAACTAATTGGGTGTGTGTGTGTGTGTGTATATATGCTATTTAATGATCTTCCTTATGGGCGTATCTGCCAGCTCAAATCATCTTCAGCATATTTTATATTGCAGTTTTGAGTTTGAGTTGCATAATAAGTGTCCACACAACACACTTGCTCCTTCGCTATTGTGGCCAGCTGTTTGCCATTAGCTTCAGTCGGCTGACAACGCTTGGCTTCGGTTGAGGTTGCAGTACTTTTTGATCACCGATTTTTCTATCTGCGATATCGGTAGCGACGAAATGGCGCACGCAAACGCCTACATGTGACACGCACCTCCTTCTTAAGGAACTGCGAAATGGCCAGAGACTTGACGGCAGCAGTGGCAGCTTCCGCTGCACAGCTACTGGAAGTTGCATTATTCGGCGCATATTTCGATAAGTCGAATTTACGTTTAGGTGTCTGATGATTACCACATTGCTCCTGAGTATGGTGATGATGTGAATGATGATGGTGATGGTTAGTATGGTGCAGATGCTCATCGTCACACTTATGCTGTGAATTACTCATATCCAAATCGGTATCGAGTCCGTCTGAGGAGACCGTGAAAATATCTGAGTTATCGCCAGCCTTTTCGCTTGGACTTATGCAGCTGCCAAGGCTGCCGTTGAGCAATTGTGGTGTGCGCCTTAGGCTACCACGTAGCATTTGGGTGGATGGCGTTGATGTGGCGCCGGTGCTATTGGTGTTGCAACCGCGCGCTGTTAACGAGTTTGTTGTTGCGAGTTTTTCTTCTTCGATCGGCGTAGCATTTGTATGGCGGCGAGATATGCGGTTTCGTGTTGTTGGGAAATTGCTATTATCGCCCGCATCATCATCGTCTTCATCATCTTCACCTGGTGTACCCACTGCATCTGCTTCTAGCTCAGCTTCTTCTGCATCCTCCTCATCCGCCTCCACTGCAGCATCAGCATCTGCATCAGCGTCGGGTTCAGCTTGCGCTGCATCTCCTTCGATTGAGTCCGCCATCGTTTCGCCGTCATCTTCAATGTCATCGTCGTCATCATCGTCGTCTTCCTCATCTTCCTCTTCCGGTATGCTATCGCCTGCATCCAATTCCGTATCATCATCCATGACAGCATCTTCATCTTCTACACCTTCATTCTGCATTGTACCGTTCTCGTACACTTTCACTTCATCTTCACTTTCAGGTGGTGTAATAACCCCGTTCCTACGCCGCCTCTGCACACATTTACTTTTAACCGGCACAGTATTATCCAGTTCATTTTCATCTTCTTTGTTGTCTTCAGGCTCTTCCTTAACACCGTTACCTGTCAATTCACCAATGTCTTGCAGAAAACGAATTTTGCGTGCGAGTATTTGTTGTTGCCGCGCAGAAGTCTTTTTCTTTTGTACTTTTGGCCAGCCTGTGCGGTTGGATTTAAGATTTTTTCTCTTTCGGAAATATTTCTGCATCGATAGAGAGTTGTACAAGCTGAGGCCGACGCCCTTACGTTTACGGTCCGCATTTGATGCTTGGTCATCATCAGTTCCACTGCCGCAAGTTGCATTGGTAAACAAGTCGTACAGATCGAAGTCGCTGGAGAAGCAATCGGTGGGTGGGGGTGTATTCGTGTCAAAGGGCGCAGCTGCATTGCGTCGGGCACCGGCATTCGCTGAGTCTATTCGTCGGGAACCGGCATTACTCGTTGACGCTGAAGACGATCCAATTGTTGTACCGTTCTTTTTTGAGGCAGGGTTCATCGCTGGCAGAGGCATCGTGTCATTATCCTCGAGAATACCTATTGGGAAATCTTCTTCTAAATCATATTCACTGGCATGGCATTGTAGATATTTATCTATCTGCCACTCCAATTGATGCACGTTTTTGTATTTCGTCGCGGTGTCCAAAGCTTTTAACGCGTTCGCATCAACTTCAAACTCTAAAACACCCTTCTTAGAACCAGTCTTGCGTATTGATGGTATTGCAGATCCTTGCGCGAGTAGACCACTGTACGAGTTGTGTCGCCGCGCAGCGAATCCACGCCGGTGTCGTTTACCAGTCGTTACCGCCGCTGCAATCAGTGAATTGGGCGTTTGACTCATTCTGCTCGAGCTGCGACCCGTGGAGTGCAGAAATTTTTGTATGCCACTATAGGAGCCACGCGGCCGGCCCATCGGCGAGCTTATTGGCTGACGTCCACCGCGTCCACTCTTTCTAGTTTGACTGAGGGCCACGGGCGGCGAGTGATCGTATTTGTTTTGGCCGCGGCGCATACGTTTTACATTCTCTGATATCTCAGTAGTGAAACGTAGTTCTTCCACGGGGGTAACGGCGGCTGAACGAGTATGCCGCGGCGACCGTAAAACTGGCAAATCGGCTGCGATTGGTGATGCTTTTGCACTGCAACTTAAGTCTGCGGATAAACCTGCCGCAGTTCCCCTTTGTGCCTTCGACGCAGCCGCCGGATTCACAACTGAAGTGAGCTCTGTCCCGTTGGACTTCACAGCTGTTTCAGCAACTGACATTGGCGTAGGTGTCGTGGACGGCTCATCAGTCTCTGAGTTCGGTTTACTCTGTGAATCTTGCCTTTGCTTTATAATACAACTAACCAATGCCAAGGTGGATGCATGCTCTCGCGGCGACTTTCTAGGTGGCAGTTCTAAATTCAAAAATGCTGCCGCAGCTTTGTTCAAATGTTTGTTGAGGTACCTATTTTTGCTGGTCTTGGTGGTGGCCGTGCTGCTCGCACAACTCGTACTACTCGTTGTACTGTGAGTTGAGCCGGCGCGTTGGCGATCCCTTGCACGCTCTTGAACTGGTATGCTCGCTTTGGTATCACATTGCAATTGATTAGAACTATTGTGTAGGTGCGCAGCAGCCTGTTCGGCCTGGCGCTTTTGTAATTCCTGCTGCTCCTGTTGATAACGTTGCAAAATCTGCAATTTTTTATGTTTATGCTTGTACTGCGTTGCACATGGTTCGGACTGTACATTCACTGCATTGCCCATTGCATACGCGTTGGTTGCTTTTGCAACGTCATTCGAATTACAACTACTTGAATCTCGCGATTTAGTGGCACCACCTTCAGATTCTTCGATGGGCTCGGATTTTACTTTGACTTTATCCGAATTTAAAAAGGCTTTTGCCGCTGATTTCGAGGGAAAGCTAGTAGTTCTTTGCTTCTCGCAGAGTTTGCAACAAGTATTTGAATCCAGCGTATGTGCGAATGGTATCGGACCGAGCTCATAGGGCAACTTACGGTAATTCGTCGATCCATAATATTCGAAATAACGTTCGGCGCAGTTATCTTGCCGCGTGAACACTCTATGCCAAATATCTCCTACAGGTACGCGTTCAAAGGAATAACGCATTTGATTTAGGCGTTCGCTATTCGCATAATCGAAATTCGCTGTGGTGGATTTCTGTTTCAAAGGTGACGGCGTACGCGACAAGCTTTCAGTGGACACATTTTTGACATTCTTACTTACTGCCGCAACATTCAGTGCTTTCGATTTTATTTGCTCATCGCTGCTCTTTTTTCGCTTACCCCCTCGACCGCGACCGCTCTCGTTCTCTGTAGGGGGTAATATCAGTTGTTTGGATTTTTGTTCTTCGCGCTGTAACGCCCGCTGCATTCGTGACTTTGCACTGCCGCAACTACTCTGCCACATGGTGGGTGGTGTGTCATAGCTTATAGTTTTCCTGCGTCTACTTTTGCAATGTACATAGTCCTCATCGTTTTCATCATCATCATCAATATCTTCGTCATCATCATCATCCTCATCGTCGTCCACGTCATCTATGAAATAACGACTTCTTACCGCTTTGCCATCATCTTCATTCTTCTCATCCTCATTTTCTGAGCCACTACTACTACTCGTACTTTCCGCATCATCTTCACTTTCTTCCTCTTGTTTATCATTGTTCATGCTTTCAGCATCCCCCATCCGATCCTCCATTTTTACAACTGTTCCACGTGTTTTCGTTACGGTCGCTTCAGGCAAGGACTTTGTCGCCGCTTCATTGGCGCTAGTCTTCTTGCGTCCGTTACTTACCAAGTCGTTGGCCGCTGCCATTTGCCTATAATTGTGTTTCGCTGCCTCCACGGCCGCACGAAGTAGACGACTACTTGTGGTTGCCGCCGTCACAATGGCGGTAGCGGTGCGACTGCTTTTGCGTGTCGCCTCTGGCAATGTAATAGCGGCCAGTACAGCTGCAGCGGCGTTCGCTTTAGCTGCCGCCGCCGAAATTGCAGGTTTTTTTGTTGTCTCATTGACCTTTTTGCCTACTGTTGACACTTCTGCCGACTTCGCAGACACAGACTTGTGAAGACTTTGCTTGTCCTTCAGTTGTAACTCTGGCTGGATGGGGGCGATTGGAAAGCGCTGCTTTGTACCAGTCGCCGATTGACTCTTTCGCCGCTTTGCATTCGCGATGGCGCGTTTGCCCATCTTCTTTTCTCTCGTTGACTTTTCACTATGCTCTGATGCTTCGACTAACTCTACTTCCATTGGTCTATCGTCGCTGATGCTATCTAGACTTGCGGATGAGAAATTTGCACGTGCATTGTCGGACGTGGTGTGCCTGTCAATATCGGTGGGCAGCTCACTGGAGGTGCGCTGTTTGGGGAACATGAAATTTTCGGCTTCACCATTTAAGCGGTCCAGTTCTGCAGCACGCACTTTCTTGAACTTCACAATAAGGGAAGGTGACGCTCCCACAGCTTGATCACCGGCTGCGAGTAGGTCACCTCGCGTCTTGCGTGTTGGCGAACATATTGCTTCCGGCGTACCGACTACTTTGTATAACGATGACGGTGGGAGCATAGCGCGTATAGGTGGTGACACTGTCGTCGCCGAAGCGGGTTTTCGGCGTGTTGTCACTGCCGTCGTAACGTTTGGCAAAGAAAGTTGTTGTGACACGTTTGCATTCGTTTCAATGCGTTGGAGCTCCAACATGCTGGACGTTGCTGTGGCCAGTGGTACTTGTTGCTTCAGCGGACTTGTTTGTGACTTGACTGTTGTTGCTGTAGCCTTTGGTGACTTTGAAAGGCGTATGTTTTGAAATTTCTCTGAAGAATGCTTGCCTTTGGTGGTGCGTTTCGATTTTTCGCGTAATGTTGGCGATGGTGTCTGCTGCTGAACGCCTCCAAGTCGACGTTTATCATCGGACAGCTCCAACAATGGCATTGCCATCAATGGTTCCGAACCTTCCAACGGATCAGCTTCGTTCGCATCAGCTATTACTTCAATGTTTTCAACCTCCATCTCTTCCAAATCTACTTTTTTATCCTCGTTCAGGAACTTGTTTACATCTGCCGAAGTGTGTATTAGCGAGTCTAAGGCTATAAAGTTCTGCGAATTCTTGGCAAAGTACTCGTGATCTTTCGTCTTCAGATGAATGGTAAGCGTATCATACTCGATTTTACAAATCTCGCATACGCCACATTGTTTATCGCTAGATTCTTTCACTTGCTTGCAGGCAGTTGCCGCCACACCCCCAGCTATGACGCCAGCTTGTGAATTTCGCTGACTACTTTTATTTGTCGCAGCTGAGCCGGTAGCACCACCACCCGCACCCTTCTTTAATGATTGAACGGCGGCGTGTAGTGGCCGCTGATGTTGTGATGACCTCGAACGGGATTTACGCGTCATTTTCTGTTCTTCGTTAACTCTGCTTGTCTTAGCTTTCTCCTGTGCTTCTACAATTGAATCTACTGTATTCGGTATGATTTTCTTTTTCGGTATCAAACGAAAAGCGCCGTCCTCACGTGTTAGTTCGATTTTGGGCCACTCAGAGCCAGATGATTTTCGAAAGAGTTGATAATAAGGTCGGTAATTGTGTTTGACCGCTTCAATTTTGAGATATCCGCCACCTTTCAAGTCTATGGGCTCGGCAGCGCTCCGACCCTTACTCAATAGTTTGTGCTGATCGTGACGTGAATTTGCCCCCAAGTAGTCCTTCAATTCGTGCTGCACCTTCTTGAAGAAGTGTAAGGCGTATTCCGTTTGCCAAACAATATAAGGGTACTGTGTTAGAATGATCGATGATGGTAGAGCAACGTCCTTGGATTGGTTGCTTACTGATGCTGTTGCTGGAGAATTTGTCCGCTCATTGACGCTGACTGCATTAACATTGAGAGTGTTGTTGGTGGTTGTGCTGGCGCGTCTTACGCGATTTAGTATTGCATTGGCACGTGTTTGGCGTGTATTGGTTTTTTTAATTGTTCCAGATGTTGGAGTTGTATTATCGCCACTGGCATTATTTTTACCATCCTGCGCGTCGATGGAGTATGGTGTTTGTGGTGTATTTGGTGTACCTGGTGTCTGTGGTGTACCTGGCCGACTACTTAATGAATTATTGTTATTACTGCTATTGTTGTTGTTGTTACCAGCAATCGGCGGCAGAATCGGCTTATCGGTAATGAAATGTGTAACATTCCATGTAAGAAAGAATTCCAACGTACCGCCAAGTGTACGAATTTGCTCCTCAATGCGCTTGGTTAGCTGATGATCGCAAATGTCCAAATAGAATTTGAAATGGCACAAAGGTTTTTTACATTTAATTACTTTGACAGTAGCGCGACGTTGCGGCAAGGGCGTAGATTTGCCGACACCGACAACGGCTGCTTCAGTACCTTCTGCTGCTGTTGATTTTGTACTTGCACTTGTGGTTGAACGTACTTGTGACTGCTTTTGCTGATGCTGCTGTTGTTGTTGTTGTTGTTGTTGTGGCTCAAGTCTTTGCAATTGTTGCTGAGGCTGTTGCTGTTGTTGTTGTTGCTGTTGCTGCTGCTGCTGCCGAAGTCGACTGTTGCTAATTTTTTCTTTGAGTTTGCTTTTGTAAATTTCCGATTGTGATTGCATACCTTCAGGTGCAGATTAACTGTTCTTATGTTGAGTGCATACATATTGACATACATATTTCAAATGATTTTCATATTTTTATATATACACATTTATTTTAGTTTTATTATTATTAATCGGCGTTGATGGTAGTGTTGTTATCGTTGTTGCAGCGGCACAGGTAAAGCATGATTGGCGCATACACCAAGAAGTAGAAGAATAAAATAGATAAAAAAAATTGTTTTCATTTCATAAATTCAAATTCTTTGTAGATTTTAATATGTTTAAGTATTTTTTAATATTTTTTGCAATTAGTTGATGCTATACTTATTATTATGCAGCGAAACGTGAAAATAAAATGTGATGAATATGATTGGTGGGCTGTTTAACGGAAAAAGGTCATGTACTAAATTTACCACAAAACAAAAATTTATAATTAAGATGTGTATCTATAACTATGATATATAAATGGTAAATTGACAAATACAAATATTGCACTAACAACAATAAACATTCAAATAATATGTTGTTTAAAACCTATGTAAGCGCACGCCCGAAAGCCTCCCACAAATGTGGTTATCAAAGTCTAGTATGAGTCAAGTACATAATAATATTGAAAACACAACCAAATAAATTGGCATACATAATACATGTGTTTATGTATGTACATAAATACATACATATGTTCGTAGGAGATAACATACAGCATAATTTTAGCTGATATCATTTTATTGGTAGCAAATTTTAAAATTTATGTGTATGTATTGTATTTGCACACAAACACACTGACATATGTATGCATGTGAAAGAAATAACTATTCTGAACAAGCTTCACATTTTTCATTCGGTAATTTTGCTGAATTATTGTAATTGTGTAATCATCACATGAATGCATGCGAGAGTATATATTAATCTTAGCCGCTTTAAGTGCGTAAACATTAAATTGTACAAACTCCAATCATGCAAACAAACATACAGTGGCGATCGAAATAAATGAATTAAATGTAAAAAAAGGTAACTTCTGCAATAAGATAAAAAAAAATACCATCCGTAATTCTAAATCTAAAAAAAGGAAACTTGACTATTATTTGGCTTCAGCTGAACAAAATTTATTTGTACCCGTTATAATGGCATTATCATTTCCGAATTGACCGGCGTGGATTTCATGCTAAATTCCACACTCACATATGTATTCATTCGTATGTACCTCGATTCAACATCTTATATTTAACAATCATTAATATGTAGCATGTTAATGGGGGTAATGGAATTATTTTAATGCAACTGTACGTATATACATATGTATGTATGGAATTGTATGTACATGCATATAATTTTAAATATACATATGTATGTGCCTGCATTTAAATTTAGACATAGATACATATGTACATACAACTTTTCCAACCAATATATACAAATACGTAAGTATTTATAATATATATATAGGTAAACATACGCATCTACATATTTATGAATACACATGGTACATATGTACATATGTACATATATACATATGTAAATATTTAATTATTGGAGTTTGCCTTATATTATATATTTATGGTGTTCAATAGAGGATGAGATTTAGTAGTTTTTTATAGGCACTAGTGTATGTATCTGGCATACTTATATATTTATATACATATGTACATATGTATGTATGTATACATATACTCGTATATGTGTATAGAAAACATTTAAACCGCCTATATTCAATATTACCTTGTTTTAACTGGATATGAGGATATGAAGGAATTTTTATCATACATCCCGTTTAGAGACAAATATATTTAGACATAAATATGTATATATGTATTTATATAAATACATTGCGAAGACATAACTACATTATGATTTAAAAATTACTTATATTTTTCCGTTTTGTACATAACTGCATTTTTTTTAATTTTAGTAATCGAGGCAAGCGAATTTTCTGAGTCTATTAGAGGGATGAAAAAGTATGCACACAGCTACTACTTTTTAACATATGATCCAGGTAGAATTTCTGAATCACCACCATCTTAAGAATATACTCATTTTTATTGCAGCTGTTCTCAAACATTTTTTTTGCCTTTTTTAGTGAACCTTGTCTGCTTGGAGCTTCTTAAAAAAATTTAAATTTTCAACCACATTTAACTTGTATAAAATGAATGTAAACGTGCATGTGAGTGTAACTTTTCCTACCTAAACGATATGAACTCACATGGGCACATGTTGTGAAAAAATGTTTATTGATGCATTTTGTTTCATTCGTTATTTTTCAAATAGTTATTCCTTATTCCCAATTAGATTTCTTTTCGGTCTCGTGAAGATATAAGCATCATATAGCTAATAAGAAGCAGGAACATATCAACCTTATTTACGAAGCGTGTATGTAAATAAAAAAAAAAAACTTTTTTGCTTACAAAATTAGAAGTTTTTTCTAAAAAAAAAATATGTCAATCTATGGCTGTGTGTACCTGTTTGTGTTATTCTTAAAACAATGTATTATTTTGTATTTATTGTATGTATGCATTGTACATAAATTATACAAATCAAATATAAAAAAAAACAAAGTTTTTCATCTAAGATTTAAAATGAGGAATACACCACTGCTAAACGATAACACCACACCATACATTTTAAAACACAACACAGGTAAAAGATCGAGAAAAGCGGAAGACGAAAGTGGCCAAAACAGTTGCAAAGAACGAAGGGTATAAAGAGAAATAATGAATAAAACAAGATAAAAAATAGATGTAAAAACATGACCGAAACGAAATAATAAAGTTAACATAGAAACATTGGTAAAGGTAAATTTGTAAACGACAAAAGCATACAAGCAATAAATATAGCGGCGATGTGGCCTACAAAAGCAACGAATGAATTTCGTTTTGGTGGAGGCTGATATAACCGCAACGTGCTATAAACGGTATGGTAGTGTGCTGCAGATATCGCTGCTTTGGCTGCCGCCATTACCTTTCCAACACAAAGACCGGACTTATAACGCAAAGCAAGCACTATACTGTATCTAACTAATCGCGTACTCAATATTTTTTGTTGTAGTTGCTATAGCTATGTGCTTGCGCCTTTGCCAGCGCTCCCGGCAAGCGCTATTACGGTCGACGGTTGGTCGTTCGGTCGGTTGCCCTGTCTAACGAATGTGGTACATACCTACATGGTATTCATGTTTGTTTTACGTTTTCAATGTACTTATTTGTTTTATTTTCTATTCATTCGTTGCCTGTCCTGTTGTGCACAAATTTTTAATGGCGAATGCTCGTTTCGTTGTCGATATACACTTTTTACCTCCAAATTACATATGCTCATATTCTTTTTTACTTTAGTAAAGTATTGTACAATACGTAGCATTACGCTTCAGTCCTGTGATAGTGTCGGTTAATGTATATACTGATATAAACGATACGAATAAATGAACTAGGAGGCCAGTATTCCTATGGCAAACAATAACAAAGCTATAAAATGTATACATACGTTAATAACACGTTTGGTAAATCAAATTATAAAAAGCTTCTTGCTGCAAATGAGTGAATTTTTTAGTAGCAACTAAGTATATTTAACATGCAGATTTGTATACCGTTATTGTTTACCTTTCATGAATTCCTTGAGCTGTTCGGCAGATATGTTTCTATAACCCAATTCATTTAAATAGTCTAAAATGGCGCGTGCATCCAAAGGCAAATGAGACATTTTCCTAATAGTAGCGACAGCAATAAAAACATCGGAGACCCTCCACTACAGTTGAAGTCGTCGACGTGTGAATAAATTTTGCTGGAATTGTATTTTTTACTTGACTCACTTAGACTGTGGCGATTAGCTTTTTGTTGTCTATAGTTATTAAGTTTCGTTTTGCTGTTCGGATTTATTTCTCCGTCTTACACTTTGTTCTCCACTTTCGCTATATTTCCACTGATACACCTTCGCACATATGTACATACATTCATTTAGGTTCCAACAAAACACTTTTCCATCTTCTATACTCAAGCGGCCAATATATAGCAACGTTCGCCAAACCGCATTTCTACAACACAAAGCATTAAAGAATTATTTAACATTTTCAATTCCGAACAATAATCTCACAAAAGCGCACCAACTCACACATAAATTGCAAAAGCAAACGACGATAAAAACCAAACCCAATGGCTATGCAATACTACTATTAATTCTCGATTGTTTTCGACTTTTTAATGGACTTTAATTGTATTTTCAAAGTAGTTTTCACTTTCTTTACAAAAACTGTACTTTCGTGTAATCTTTTTCAATGTAATTGTTAATTATTTGTGATTTTAGAGCACTTTATTAATAAAACTGCAGACAGCGTTCGTTCGCCACTTCGCTTCAACCAGAGCTGCCAGTTTTTTTGCTTTCAGATTAATCACTATTGTAGAAATGGTGCATTTGCCTGCTGCTTGGAATCACTTGTACAATATTGAATAAAATATGCTGTATTCAATTCAAAGAATTATAATAAAAAAAAATCAACTGGTTCTGCTTTATTTATGGTATGAGAATTGACAAAGGCAGTAAAACTGCACATGCAAGAATACGACGAGGTATTATTTTGTTCATAGCTGGCAGCGCCACAATAAATGACGCTCGGCTATTCTTCTTCACTTTTTGTTCGTTTTCTTTCGTTTATTTCGTTCGTATGCAATCGGTTGTGCAGCTGCAGGCGACTTTGTTTTAATTTGGCATTCCATTTTGTATCGTGGTGAATTTTAAAAGGGTGCTGCCACTTTCCATTAAGAATTGAAATTAACATTTCATGGCCGAATTTAAGGCTCAGCTAGGTTTCGTAACAGGCCTTCACAAACTTTCGAATAGGCTCACAGACGCTTCGATCCAGAAAAAGGTAACCCACTGTACTACTATTAAAACAAATAAAGGATATTATCTTATTTCTGTAACAGAACGTAGAGTTTTGTTTAAAGATGCCTTCTTGGAAATAATTGTTGTAACCTCATGTGTACCCCAAGGCAGATCCTGAGTCCGATTCTGTTCTTGTTGTTTATTAATGATTTGTCTTCAGTCATAAAATATTCAAAAATTTTATTGTACGCAGATGATGTAAAGCATTTGAAATCATATACCTCAATTAGCGAAAGGTGTTACTAACAAATCGATTTAAATAATTTAGTAATTTGTTGCAATAACTATGATATCGTTTATATCTTCAATCACCATCTTACACAATAGACAAATGTATTCTAGAACAAGTATGCAATTTTGTTGACTATTCATATATTAATATACGTTCCTTGGTTTAACATGACTGGAATGATGAGCGACTTGTAGAGTTTGATCTTTGTTCGTCGCTCCTAAAGAATATTGTACTTTCTCTATTCAGCTCCACATTTCGTGTTATTTTCTCCAGCAATAAATTAAAGAAGTCACATGATAGGGAATCAGAGATGTCCTCCCTAAACCTGACGGATCTTCAGTTGTTGCTTAACGTCAGCTTATACAGCCGTATAAATTTTTCGGGGAAATCAGATTCAGTCATAGCGGCATAGAAGCAACTCGTTATCGTGCTGTCCCACGCTGTTTTAAAACCGAACTGAAGGAAGAGCTAGAGAGTGTCGATCTTGTTTTCATTGGTCTGTTTTAAGATTTGGCGCAAGGTGATCAAAGGTGTATTTCCCAGGTCTAAAGCCATAGCCGTTAGCATGTGAACTGCTAGAATTGACGAATGAAATAAAAACTATTTCACCACTACCGCCACAAATTGCCTCTGCTTGTCAAACTTTCTGAGCAAGATAATAATAAATTAATAAAAATAATGGTCTCCCAAATATTATTCATTCGTTCGTTAACTAGCGGTGAAATAGTCTCTTAGCAATCCCGTAGGATGAACAAATGGCAGAGCCCTCCGGTCCATCTCCTTAATACACGCTATGTAGTTATAAGTTCTCTGCTGCATTATTAGTCGATTGAGCAATCCTTCAAATATCGATGATTGTTATCGTTTTTGATTAAGGGGACCATACAGCTGTTTCTGGTATTTAAAGACACATCACTCAATTTTTAGAAAAAGTAATCCAATTTCTTAGCAAATGCAATTTTCTCGTAAATTAATATGTCGGCTTTTAAATATTTGTGCAATAAGTCCATTTTATTATTAACACTATGTATTCTCTCGGTGAGTTTAGTAAAAGGCCATGAAGGGAAGGATTTCGATGACTCAATCCTATATAAAATCGATTTTGAATTACCTGATTTTGATAAGGAACCTGTGAGTATAAATATTTGTTTTTGAGTAAAAAATTCATTAATTATTTATGTAGGATTTAAAAAATCATCTACGAACATTTTACACTCATGATAATGAAAAATACGATTGTGTTATACCAGTTGTGCAAGATGCCCAGGAAGAACCAGCTTCCACCGAGCCAGAATTGTGTAAGTAACTATAAACTATTTCGTCCATACAAAAAAATAAAATTCGTCTGATTAAAAATATCTTAGCGCCATTAACACTACTGCAACCTCTATTTTCAACACCAAGTTGCTCGTACAGAATTGAAGCCTATTGGTCTTATGAAATTTGCCATGGTCAACATGTACGGCAATCCCATGAAGAAAGAGAAGGTAAGATGACTTATGAGAACTAACTTATCAATGCACATATCTCATCCATTTTGTTTCTTTATTTTTAGGAAAAAGCGCAAAATTACAGGAATACTACTTAGGCAAATGGTCGGAGCAGAAGACTGAAGAACTAACAAAAGCATGGGAAAGTGATCGCAAGGCAGGTTTTAAATACAAAACAACTAAAATTGAGAATACGCGATATCCGTATTTTGAGTTAGAAATGAGTGATGGCACCATGTGTGATATCATAAATTTGCCACGAACAACGAATGTCCGTTACGTCTGTTATCCTCATGGCAAGAATGAAATATATTCATTCAAGGAGACCTCATCATGTAACTACGAAGCTATTATTCTTACTTCTGTGCTCTGCATGATTCCGGCATTCCACCCCGAAGAATCAAAAGAGGTCTCTATAAAATGTTTTAATTCGCCTACTGAAACGCATAAACCCCTTAGCATGTTGAAACAAGAGCTTGGTGAAATGCAACTAGCAGATGATGAATTGCCTGTATCAAAAGATGCAAGCACAGCCGCAATGGCCTTAGCACGTTCAGCGGCGGCTGTCGAACGCTTATCTTTCTTCAATAAAATTGGTACAGACGTTGATAGATTAGTTCTTGAATTAATGATAGGCGCTGGAGTTGAAGTACCTGTGGCGCCAGTAGGTGAATCAGAAGTTGTGCCAAATATACCTAAGGCGCCCATCACAGATCTAATACCAATTAAAGAGTTCATTTCTGGGAATAATTGCTTAACTGGGGTATGTGTGGAGAATTTCTTTATTTATTGCCATTTATATAAACATTTTTCTGCGTATTTTCAGGGCACAGGTTGGTGGAAATATGAATTCTGTTATGGGCGACATGTGCGGCAGTTCCATATTGATAAAAAAGCGGAAACAGAACTAATTTTAGGTGAATTCTCTGAAAATTCACATCGCCAGTGGTTGGATAGGAATTTAGATAAAATGCCAAAACGTGGTGGGTACTCCACAGCGCTTTGGCACCACTATGATCGTGGTTCAGTGTGTGAGCGTACGGGCTCTGAACGCGAGGTAGATGTCAAGCTAATGTGCACCCCAGTTAGTAGTAGTACGAGTGCAGTGTCTATTTATTTGTTGGAGCCTAAAACATGCCAATATATTTTGGTAGTGGAATCACCGATCGTGTGCGACCTCATGCAGCTAGCGGATGAGTACGGTTTGGTGCACAAAGAAACCATACAACAAATGATTGAAAAGAATACATTGTCAAATGTAGAAACCGCAAAAGACCAAAGTTCATCACAACCCGAAAGCGCAACGGAACCAAAACCAAATGAAGAAAGTAATGCATTGAATGAAGCTGTCATTCAACACGATATACTTGCATGAAAAGTTAAACTTAATTTGTAATAATAATCATCTCGTACTCTTGTAAGTGATTTGCAAAACTATTTTCAGTACCACTACAATGCTTGTGTGCTGCTTAATAAATTTAAATTTTTAATGAAAACTTATTATGTGTTATTATATTATTGAACTATGCGTACATCGGCGGTGGTATTTCATCCGGCCCAATTTCTTTTTTCTGTCCGCCAGCGAAACTTTGCTGGTCAGAATGTATATCTGAAATAACATCAGTAAATAATTTATCCCATTCCCATACTTCGTCGGGCTCATCTAATGTTTCGGGTAGTTTTAAGCAACGTGTCAATACCGTAAGATCTACATTCTCCATCGAAGCAAATGCATTCTGATTCAGCAAGTCCAAGTTTAATTCGCTCAACGTATTCAAACGTTGGGGTTTGGAGCTAGAAATATATATATATACAGCAACTGAAAAAGCGTTTATTTTTCGTTAACATACACAGGCGGCTCCAAAATTTCATTAAGTAAGATTTCATCTTTTAAATCATCCATATCGGGTATAGTTGGTATTTCATCTCCAGAGGGTGAGCCAATAGGCGACTTGGCAAGTGAAACACTTTGGAAACGTTCGCTTTATAAATGTTTTGGAAAATATAGTAAATTACACAAATACATATGTATATAATATTTAGGCGCTTTTTACTCACTCGTCAAATGAGGCTCCTTTTTTTGTTCTGTTTTTAATACAAAAATATACAAATTTAGAAGAAAAATTCAGTACGTGAATTATTTTGACTAATTACTTTGAACTTTTTAACAAGCCGACGTCAGCCCAACCTCCAGAAATGCGCCGGGGCGGTGGTTTCTTGGAGGCATCAGTTTCCTCGCTAGCAGCAGTACTGGAATTCTGCTGCAGATCCAACGTTATATCGATAGAAATTTCTTTTTCATTTTTATTTTGATTGCTCACATTGATACTGGTTGAAGCGCCACCAATTGGATCGCGACTTTTCGAGCGACGACCCTTTCGTGCAGTTTTCTAATAAGAATTTGTATGTTTTCAGTGTTAAAAAAATGGGGCCGATGTGAAAGTGATAAAGAAACAAGTATTTTCACTACCTTACGAATGGATAATTTCAATTCCTCGGCCCAATCCATCATTTAGACTGCTATAGCTCCAAATCCTTAGGATTGTTGTTAATCTTATTGTGTATGAAGGAAAATATTTTCTTTGTTTTGCTACTAAATTTTGTTATTTTTTGTTGCTTAGCAACAGTTGTTTGTTTACGTTCGCAAAGAAATATAGTGAAATTTGTTATTCACAATAGCATGGACCGAATGACTGTGCACTCTACAACAGGTGGTGTTTCATTAACAACAGAAAAAAATTCCAATAACTTACAAATAACGGTCATATATGCACATTTGTTTAAGTTTTGAAAAATTAAACGTATGAGTTAACAAAGTCTAGATAAGCTCATGTTGAGAAAAAATTAACTAATTTCTGACAAAATCTGTTAACACTTGGTGGATGACAACCCTACTGAACAGCTGCTTTTTAAATTGTGTTTTTGCACGTGCCGCATTCTATATAGTAAACCAATTTTTGTAAATTTTAGTAAAATTGGAAACAAATGCCACCAAAAAGTTCAAACAAGAAATCCGTGACTAGTACGGTAACTTGGTATCATTGCGAATTATGCAATGTGCATATTATATCAAAGGATCGGGAGGCTCATGGTAATTATTGCCCTATATCACCGAATACCAATACAGAGCCCCTGGAATTCATACAAAACGATAGCCTTTATACAGTTGGTGCTGCCAAGCGTACATTTAGTATTGAAGAATTAAAAGATGTGCCGGAGAAGTATGTTAATAATTTATTGTTTATTTCTGAGGGCGCTATGAAGCTAACTCATTTACACATTGGGCAGAGGGTGTTAATAAGGCCAGCGAACGTATCTGAAACTGAAACAGTGGGATTAGTGAGATTGGTTTGGCCTATACCTGAAAGGTTTTTAACGACTATTTATGTTAGCGAAGGAGGTAAAATAAAATTATTTTTCTTTTTTAATAAATATTTATTTATAATTGTTTTCTTTTACAGATTACAAACTCCATTGGCCAGAGATGAAAGAAAAAGCACTCAAAATAAATGCCTTACCACCAAGCTGCGTATCAGTCGCAAAGTCTATACGCCTTCGTTTAACAAATACAGTGAGTGACACCATGGAACTTGTTGAAGCACAGCTAAAAGATGTAGAGCGTTTGTTGAAATTTGAAATGAAAAGGTTTATCTTCACAAAGGGCAGTCGTATTTTTATGGACTTTTTTAATAGAGAGCTAACTTTGCAAGTTGTTTCTTGGTCAAGTTTCTCAGATTCCGCTACCGTGGAAGAAACTGTGGAGAAATGCTTAGCACAATCGCTTGAGCGTTTATCATTACACTCGGAGTCTGATGATACATTTTTTGAAGTAACAACAGGCACGAGTTTCGAAATTGAACGACCAAAACCGGTAGAAAGTGATGAAAATCACGCAAATATCAATGTAGTAAGTAAGATGCATATCGGTGGTTTAGACAAACAGATCGATATAATTGAAGAAGCGATGGACATGGCGTTGGGAATAAGAGCAGTGCCTGCAGGTTAGTTAAACATACAAATAAGTTCCTCCACCATTTAGAGTAAAATTAAGTAAGACAAAAATTCTTATAACGCTATATCGTTTTATTGATTTCAGGCGTCAAAGTTTCACGTGCTTTCCTCCTGCATGGCCCAACAGGTTGTGGTAAAAGTTTGATTTGTGAGGTCATGTGCACACTCGCAGGGGAGAAGACTGCCAAATCAATCAAAGCAGAAATCATTCGAATAAACACCAGTGAATTATTCAGCAAATTTCTGGGCGAAACGGAGAAAAACTTGAAGATCCATTTTGATAAAGCATTTGAAAACTATCCACGCCCCACACTCATTATTATAGAAGACGTGCACAATGTTTGTCCAAAACATGAGAGCAATGAAATGTCCAAGCGAGTTGGCGCCTCATTTCTCAGCATACTCGACGTTTTGAATAGTCGAAAAAGGGAAGCGCAACATATTTTTGTTCTAGCGTCAACATCTCAAATAGATGCACTCAATCCGAGTGCTCGTCGTTGCGGTCGATTGGATTGTGAAATTGAAATTGGCGCACCAACACCCAAGCAACGCGAAGCCATTATTCACTGCCTATTGCAGAATACTACACACACACTCTCAACAGAGGATGTCAAAAGTGTGGCACAAATATTACATGGTTTCGTTGGTGCCGATATAGCCAATCTCATTTATGCAGCGGCGTTACGAGCGTTGAAAGACGGCAATCGGTCGCTAAACTTGCAAGATCTGCATGCATCTCTGACCCATGTTAAGCCTTCGGCGATGCGTGAAGTTCTTATAGAGAATCCCAATGTGCATTGGAGTGATATTGGCGGTCAGGCAGAATTGAAATTAAAACTAAAGCAAGCTATTGAGTGGCCTCTGCTGCATCCAGATAAGTTTGAACGATTGGGCTTAAAACCACCACGTGGTATTTTGATGTTCGGCCCACCGGGCTGTTCGAAAACGATGATCGCCAAAGCACTTGCTACAGAAAGCCAACTAAATTTTCTCTCCATTAAAGGGCCCGAACTTTTTTCCATGTGGGTTGGTGAATCTGAACGCGCGGTACGTGAGGTTTTTCGTAAAGCGCGACAGGTGGCGCCGTCTATAGTGTTCTTTGATGAAATCGATGCCATTGGGGGTGAGCGGTCCGAAGGTGGCTCCAATTCCGGCACATCTGTCAAGGAGCGCGTGCTGACACAGCTACTAACCGAAATGGACGGCGTGGAGGCTTTGGAAAACGTTACAGTCGTAGCAGCAACCAATAGACCGGATATGATTGATAAAGCGCTTCTACGCCCTGGACGCTTCGATCGTATTGTATATGTAGGATTGCCCAATGCGGAGGCCCGCCAAGAAATTTTTCGCATTAAATTATTGTCAATGCCCTTGGCAGATGACGTACTAGTCGACGCGCTGGTACAGCGTACGGAAGGCTATTCAGGCGCTGAAATTCAAGCAGTATGCCAAGAAGCTGCGTTGAAATGCCTGGAAGAGAGCTTCGAAGCTGAGCGCGTAAGTTGGACGCATTTCGAATACGCGTTAAATACTGTGCAGCCGCGTACAAATCCCGAACTTTTGGAACTCTACGATAAGTACACCAAGCAAAGATAATTTACAGCTCAAATCACTTGCTGATTTGTAGAAAAATCCAAAATGCCATCTTTTGTAAAGTCGTAGCTGCTAGTATTTTGCAGCGCTTCTGTCTCGTCGCTAAAGCTCGTTATATTGTTAAGAACGTTGAAGCTACTCTGCGCAGTCATGTTCATTTCGCTGATTTCTACATCGTCCGCTTCGATAACTGCAGGTGCCTGTAGGATATTTTTCAATACTTGATCTGTAGCTTTAAAATCAAAGTTGAGATTTTCACTGTAAGACAAATGTACATAAATATAATGTATACATATTCAATAAGTATGTACGAGTTCAATTAAAATTAATTACTAATATTAATTCGTACCTCTTTGTGTGTTTTTTCATATGACGTGCCAAAGCTGATGACTGATTGAATTTCCATTCGCAGAATTTACATTGAAAAGGTTTTTCCCCTGAGTGAATGCTGAAAGCGTGGAAATTAAGACAGCCTTGAAAAAAGTGCATATTAAAAACTATCTAATTTTTTTTACCGCATATGCGAAACCAAATTCGAACGTCTGCCAAACAATTTGCCACAATCAGCGCATTTATGCCGTCGAATGCCGTGATGCATTGCCGCTATGTGATCCAGCAGATAACTACGCTTTGTGAAGGCCTTCTGACATTTTCCACATACAACATCCTTTACCGCTTTATGTATCGGCTCGTGTCGACGTAATTCACGAAGGGTTTTGAAGTCGCGATCACATTGGCGACAACGGTGCTCACGCTGTTCCAGATGTGTGGCTTTGTGCGCTTTCAGATTGCTCGATGTGGTAAAGAAATTGGCACAAATCTCACATTGAAAACGTCTTTCTCCAGTATGCGTACGCTGATGTATAAGCAAATTACTAGATTGTTTAAATTGACGAGAACATTCCTAAAAGAAAATATCCAAAGTAGTTGTCGGTTTGAAATATGTTGTTGACTCTGTGGATTTCAGTAAAAATCACTATAAATTAAAAAAAAAAATAGGCGTAAAAAATCCAACACAAGGGAAAAGCAGATCCGGTTCAACTGCACAAGAGGTATGTGCCACGCTCCACCATATAATGAAAATACCAAAAATAATTTTTAAAATCAAATCAAAATACCCACTTGAATTTAACACAAAAAAATAAAACTCGACAGAATTTCAAGTAACGTATTGACTAATCTCTGCATCAGTTTGAAGTTCTACAGTTGTTGTACTAATTTTTATTGAAATAAATTTTTTTAAGACTCCATCATGCAAGGATATCTCAGAAATAGCGTTACATGTTACTTGTGTCCAAATATCTCTAGGGCAAAAAAGATCATGGAACCAAGCTCAGGTACAGATTGGAATAAAACAGCGCTCTCTTGTGTGGTACACAGATGGTTCAAAGACTGTTGATGAAATTATGGGGAAATACCCAAGTATCTTCCAGGCAGAGGTGTTCGCTATTACAATATACGGAGAGCTCATACTCCAAAGGAAATGGTTAACCAACATGCAGTAATTTGCAGCCATGGTTAAGCCGCACTGAAAGCGATATCATCATGTACAATTAAGTCATAAATGGTATGGGAATGTGTTAAGAACATCCATAGAGTGGGCGAACGGAGCAAAGTTCAGTTTATCTGGGCACCAGGAAACACAGGTATTGAAGGAAATTACAAAGAGACCCGCAAAAGAAGCTGCCTCCTCCGGCTGAGCCATTCTTTCCCTTACGTCCCTACTCAGTTAAGGAAGAGATAATCTATGTATCTATCTACTTGTGTCAATGACAGTTAATACTAACATAGATTGCAGGTCTAGTTGAAAATCACAAATACTCGTATACTATATATAATTGACGCTTTGTAACTGCCGAAGCGATTTTTTCGGCCGAGTTCCTCCTCTAATTTGTGGTTTTGCGTCCTGTTTCTTTTCCAACGAAATGAAGGGACCCACAGTTTATACTAAGCCGCCTCCAAACGGCTAATATATTTTTTTTTTTGGGTGTCTTTATTTCATGTCCGAAATACTATTCGGAGGGGTTGACATTCCCTGCCGAGGGGCGCCCGCAATTATAAAATTTAACTTAATTTTTTATTTAAATTAATTAATTATAACATTTGGATTTTTGTGGCACCAGGATTTAAGCCCGAGCCTTCCGAATATCCGTACCTAATGACAATATTCGTACAGTACTTTTTTAATTGCGTAAATCGCGACCAACTGCAATTTTGTGGCAAATTTCAGCCGGTGGAAAATTTTCTCAATATTTTGTCATAGTGCAAACGTAAGTTTCTGATAATTCTTTAAAAATTATCAGCTTTACGTGCGCTAATTAATCTAAACAGAACTTTTCCCTCTTTAAATAGTTTTTTTGTAACAACAATGACATACAGTGGATAGAAAAAGTAAGTTATCAAAGAAACCAGCGCTTTTTAAATGCTCTCGCCTTGTTCGCTGTATCGAAACGAGATTTTATTGGCGATTGCTTAACTAGTAAGGTAAAATTACTACTGCAGTTTATTTATATTTTTTAAAGCATCCCGCCATCTTCAACAGGACAATGCACCCATTCATACTGTAAATATCATCACCGAGGGTTTGAAAGTTATCAACTCCATCAATCAATGAATTTCCGTCTTGTTTTGAAAATAGTTGAACTTAAAATTTATATAAAAACAAATTATTCTTTTTGAAAACTTTATAATGTTTTTCGTGGTCGCTGTTTTATATTTCACTTACTTTTACTACACACTGTATTTATGTGCTTGCCTATTATGATGAATTTATTAAGTTATTTATATACGTTTATATATATATATGCTTTTATTGATATAATTTCAACTAAAACTATTTATTTATTGAAAACAATTGTAGGCTACTATTTTATCTTGTAGACTTGCTGTAAATTTATTACATGCGTGGCTAAATTATGACATACGGCTAATCAAAATGCACAAAGCTCTTTTATATACTTTTTTAAATTTTTTAATTGTTTCTACGTTATAATATTTATTAACTGCAAATGCACAACAACAACAACTCTTAATTGATGGCTGTGGCAAGAGCTGAGCAAACTCATTCACTGTTAAATAAAGAACGCATTTAATGTTTATGATTTCCATACATATCTACATATTTGTATTTTGATTACTTTTTATTTTATCTTTTGAATGTTAAATAAATAATTAAAAACAATAGGTTGAAACAAATTTTACAACATTGATAACATAAATTCTCGGTTTACCCGTACTCCTAACACAGCTATCTACACTCGAACGAACCTCTTATATATATGTATGTGTGCATATGCATGTATGCATGTGTCTTACTATACACAATTTTCACATGCCACTTACGCAAAGATCAAGTGAAGTGACGTAATAATAAAAACCTTGCGCTTCGTAACATTGATTAGACGCATCTGTCATTCTTTCCTATAAATACGTTTAGTTCCGATTGTTTATATTGTTAGTTTGTTCATTTTATGCCAAAACAAAGAGAGTCCAACTCTCGCTGGCCGGCTTCTTAGCGTTTAGTTTCAGTGTAACGCCACGTATCAGTGCCGTGTGATGTGAGAATTGTAAGCATTCATTATAATCAGTAGACTTCTGATTTTGATTGCTTTGATGATAAAGCGACGGTCAATAAATTGTCGTCTCGGCACTCTGTACACTCTGCAGTAAATCATCTTAGATGTTTGCTCCCTTTAGTTGAGTGAAGAGTGTTGACACTGTAGGTAAGCGTTTAGCGTGCCGCTCGTTTATTACTTTCAATTAGTGACGGGTAGACTGACTGCACGTATTTGTGTGCTGTAAGCAATTAAAATGCAAGCGTGGTTACGTATTTCATTGCTGTTATGGGTTTTCGGATTTTTTCGAGAATTTCGTCCATCAGAGCCGTTTGTTACGGAATATCTGAGCGGTCCGTGGCACAACATCACTGCTGAGCAGGTGAATAAAGAGATTTATCCCTTTGGCACTTATGCTGTACTAGCGCAACTAGCCGTGATCTTCCTTATCACCGACATTCTACGCTATAAACCGATTATTATTTTGTCGGCTTGCACCGGTATAATACTTTTCGCCATTCTATTGTGGACAAATTTAATATGGGAATTGCAAATTGGACAGGTATTTTATGGTACCTTTATGGCAACCGAAGTAGCCTACTACACATACATATATGCGAAAGTGGATAAGGAGCGTTATCAAATTGTTACTGGTCACACGCGTTCTGCGATTTTATGTGGCAAGTTCCTAGGTGGTGTTTTTGCACAAGTTTTTGTCTCTACGGAGCTAATGGATTACAAGGACTTACATTATGTTTCTTTCGGTTCACAAATTATATCGCTCTGTATAGCGTTGCTTTTGCCACCGGTACGTAAAAGTTTGTATTTTTATACAGATTCAGGATCTGAACTCTTGGATGTGACTGCGAAAAATAATGCGGAAGATCAGAATGTGCAAACAGAAGGTTATTATAATAAATGAAATTTTAAATTCTTTTTATATTATTCTGAATATCTTATTTCAGTTCCGCCAACAAAAGGCACGATCTCAGTTAGTACTTCCGTCTCAAATGGTATCTCTACAATGTCGCCACGATTCTCCTGGACCAGGGCATATGAATTACTTATAAATCACATTGTTAGTGCTTATACTAATCGCACAGTGATTCGTTGGAGTTTTTGGTGGGCTTTAGCCACATGTGGACAGGTGCAAGTGATTTGTTACGTGCAGTTTTTATGGAAGGATATAGAGCCGTCCAACGAGAGTTTTTACAATGGCGGAGTAGAGGCGATTGTAACACTTTTAGGAGCTGGTAGCGCTATGCTGGCTGGCATAGCTAAGACAAGTCATCACAAAAAGTGGCATATGTGGATATTGACCGTTTGCTCATTGTTTATGGGTGTATTCACTATCGTCTCTTCGTTAACGAATTCAGTTTGGATTGCCTATGTGATGTACATACTTTTCGGTGTTTTTTACTTTTTCATTATAACCACGGCTAGTGCCATAGTAGCAGAGAATTTATCTGAGGATAGTTTTGGCTTAATTTTCGGTATTAATACTCTTGTAGCACTTGTGCTACAAACTATCCTCACCGTTGTGGTAGTTACTGATGCGGGTTTTGGTCTACAACCACGTGAACAATTTTTTGTATATGGCTGCTATTTTATAGTACTTGCAATTATGTACTTTGGTGCTGTTATTATACGTTTTATCTTAAATAAACTTCAATGCTGTGATAATGGTAATTCAGCGATTCAGGAATGAATAGATAATTTTTAAGCAAATATTGGGCTCAAGAAGTTTTTAAGGCTCAGGAACTGTGTACTTACATAGATATAATTATTTGTATATATAAATAGTAAATTTACTTCGAGTATACATATGTATATAATCTTATATTTTTTTAGTTTTAATTTCAATAATTTAAATTTGAAATAAATATTAAAAAAAAATAAATAAATATATTGATTCTTTCCCTTTTATATCATAAAACAAAACTAGTTAATTTTTCAGTTAGCCCTTGTATTTAGTGATTAGGATTATTATTTGCAAATGCCAATGAATGTTTGAAGGTACGTAAGAATATAAAATTAATTGGACTAAGTAAAATAATTAGATATTACAAACCTTGCATTGGAAAGTCTTTTCGTTCGGACCCACCAATTTGAATACTTCGAGATAACTGGAGTTACTGGAAAGAGTACCACATTCTGTGTTGAGCTCGGTGATTGCTCCATCAATTCTGCATTTTGTGGTTGGCTATAAGTTTTTAAAATTAATATCAAATATATTCCAATTTTTTTAAATATATTTACCGAGATACTAATTTTGGGTTTATTTATGGTAGCTTCTATAGCGACACCCCGATTCAAGTTAGAATTTATATGTTTTTCATTGAATACATCATTTAATGTGTCCTCATTCGCTTCAGATCGCGTTAAACTACTAACATCTATTTCAATGTCATTCAACATGTCTTCGCCACCTACAATACAAGTCTTTTCGTTCGTCACTTCATTATTCGTCTGAACATTACTTCTTTCAAACATGTCGCATATATTTGCATAAATGGCTGAAGTCATCTCCGCATCTCTACATGTATCGCCGATTGCCGCTGTTGATGAAAAGCTTGAAGAATCTTGATTGCTGTTGAAATTAAATTGAATTTATCAATTGACAATTTTGATAGGAAATCAATTTAATCTCACATTGAATTAATGCTCATGTTGCCTAGTGCTAGACTATTGATACCGCCACCAGTTGTAGTATTGGCGACATAATCACGTAAACGACGCTCAGATGCTTCAGCCAGCTGCTGCAAGTTATAAGCGTCCAGCAACCGATATAAACACGATTGGCACAAGAGTGCGGGTAAGGTTTCATCATACTACAAAAAAAGCATTTCAAGACGATTTTAATAGAATTCTAGTAAAATATTTGCTTGAACTAACCTTAAATATGTTCAGTTTCTCTATTATTTCGATGGGCCTTAGTGGAAAGGTGGGGCTATAGAGGTAGAAAGACATCAACAATTCACTTTTTAAACAAATTCGACAACAACTTGTCTGGAAATTCATATCTGTTTCTTCACTTTCGCATTGTAAATTTTATAATTTATTTTACTGACGCACAACGTAATGAACAAAGATGGACGAAAAGAAATAAACAGCTGAATGAAAGAGTGATGCCAGCATTTAACATTTTTAAAAATGTATTGCTCCTTTTGTTTGACGTTTTCTAACCACTGAAGAGGATTCCGGGCGAGCTATCCTCTATTTTTTTTTATTCGTCTTGATGGCTTTCCACCAGTTGGAGAGACCTAAGCCGCCTCTAAATGAAAGCCTAGAAAGTACACAACAGTTTTTAATTTATAATAATTTTGTAAACTAAACCAAATTTTCCAATATGAAATAAATGCAGTCTTATCAATCAATCTCCTGTAAATTTTAAATATCCGCCTTTATAGACTTATCCTACTTCTAAAAAAGGTTTAATCGTCTGGCAGCTTTGACCACTGATAAAAGAGTACTCATTCTATTTCCTTGTTTTTGTGTTTTCTTTTTCTGAGTCATCCACAAATCGCTGTTTAGCCATTACGAGTATTCATAAACTAAGTTCATCACAAGTGGCAGCTGAAAGTATTCTTTCGAAAAATACGGATAAAGATTTTAGAACAATTATTCCAAGGAAGCAAAACCATACCTTTGCCAATGAGTAGCACTTTAAATGAACCGGCGTCTGTGTATGAAAGCAGCAGTAATGCTGGCTCAACAAGTCCTGTGCCATCTTTGTCGGAGTTATATTCTCAAATTGATTTCTACATAGGAGTGGGTTTGGCAATAAGTTCTTGCTTTTTCATTGGTTCTAGTTTCATAATTAAAAAGAAAGCACTTATGCGCCTAAGTAGACAAGGTGAGATGCGTGCTGCTGCTGGCGGATATGGTTATTTAAAAGAATGGATTTGGTGGGCAGGCCTGCTAACAAGTAAGTATACAAGTGATGTATTTAATATGGTAATAATCTACTTTCTCACTGTTGTCATTTTCAGTGGCTTTGGGTGAAGGTGCGAATTTTGCTGCATACGCGTTCGCACCTGCATCACTTGTAACGCCTTTAGGAGCGTTGAGTGTGATCATATCAGCAGTGATGGCATCGAAATTTTTAAACGAAAAACTGAACTTGCTGGGCAAAATTGGTTGTGTGCTCTGTATCTTAGGCTCCACAATCATCGTTATACATTCGCCGAAAGAAAAAGAAGTTGAAAACTTAGATGTGCTTTTTGAAAAACTACAAGATCCAGGTTTTATATTCTACGTACTTTGCATACTAGGATCGACTATTTATGTTGGTCTCTTTATTGCTCCTCGTTACGGTCATTCGAATGTTGCAGTATATATTTACCTATGCTCTGGCATTGGGTCCCTGACTGTTATGTCTTGTAAAGCACTTGGATTGGCTATAAGAGATACATTGAATGGCAGTAGCAACGATTTCGCCGCTTGGAAACCGTGGTTCCTCATTTGTGTAACTATTACATTCATCGCAGTACAAATGAATTATCTAAACAAGGCATTAGATGTATTTAATACGGGTATCGTGACGCCGGTATATTATGTAATGTTCACGTCACTTGTTATAGCGGCGTCGGCTATACTTTTCAAAGAATTCACACATATGCGTTTTGAAGATATATTGGGAGATATTTGCGGCTTTCTTGTTGTAATCCTAGCTGTTTTCATTTTGAATGCTTTTAAAGATATGGACATAACATTGAATGATGTGCGTAGCATTATGCGCCCTAAAATGCAACGAGTTTCGCAATATGACGAAGAAGTGTTAGTCTCGAATCCCGCTAAAGACCGACGATACTCATATGGATCGGGTGATATTTATCGAAAAGCTTGACCTAAACAACGACATCGTGTATAAGCCAATAATGCTGTATTTAGTTTGTTATAAATCTGCGTTGATGAGCAATTGCGATCCCATTGCCTTTCCTACATTTCCAAATTTTCCCAAAGGGTTTAAACTTAGTAATTTAATGTAATTAATAAATATTCATGAAGCATAGTAGTAGTTATAAAAAGGGTTTTGTACTAAACGAGTGTAAAGTAGTTTTAGGAGCCATAATTAATTTTAAACGCGGTGTTTTTCTTAACCATTAAATTGATAATTAAGAATAAAATTACCATGGTTTGACATGAATAAATAAATACCTTTCTTTACATAAAAACGATTGTGTTAAATAATGTGTGAAATAAATCACAAGAGAATGTCCTCCGACTTGGCGCAGCGTAGTAAACTCGCACCAGTGTTGGAAAAAGAATAAAATAAAAAGGGAAATGGCAACTCTGTTATTTCGTTTTGTTTATGTTTATATTTATCTTGATTTATTGTTTGATCACTATATTCGGTTTATTTACACATCATTATTCATATCCCCCATAGGCCCCAAAGCGGACAGCTGATGATTCAGTTTAGTTTTTCACTTTGATTCATTGTGTAGTTCTACGATTTTTGGTGGGTCTGTAAAATTAGAAACGTACTTTAAGTGGTTGGAAGATTTTTTAATACGCTGTCAAATAAAGCGCAGTAAAAAGATACATATTTAACGGTATAAGTGCTCCACAAGCAAATTTGGAATTTGGCATTTATTTCTGTGTGCAGCAGTGCGAAACTTACTCTTTTTTTTATCTTACTATATAAAAAATCGGCTTCAGTGAGCCACTGACCAAAATTGGTTTCTTCTTTATTTGTGTGGGCGTTAAAGCGTGAGCAAACCACGCAAATTGTCGCGTACAGTTGCTGACGTACCCGTCGCTGCTGGCATAATTGAGATGATCCAGCAGCCAGTGGAAAGGCGGAACGGTGGTGGCGGCATCGAGGCCGCTGCCAGCGATGAAACGGCACCAATTGCTTCGCATCGCAGCCGTGGGGCTTCCTCAATGTTTCGTTCGTTCGGCTCATTGTTTGGTGAAAATAGTAACAACGTTGGCAGTATGGGTATACATTCGCCAACGAATGCAGCTGAACACGGCTATGTGGAGTTCGGTATGCAGGATCCGGATCGAAGCGGTCGCACACTGGGTACTTTTGCAGGCGTATTCAGTCCAGTGGCATTATCAATGTTCAGCGCTTTAATATTTATACGTGTGGGTAAGTGAATTGTGTATGTATGCATCTCATATTTATAATAATTGATGGGTAATTCACAACAGTAAATATGTTTACTTGTATAAATAAACTATTTAATGTAAAAAGCCTCAGATGATTGTTGATACAAAATTTATTTTGCTAAAAAAAATACTCATATGCATACATGTACGTATGTATGTGTGTGCAAAAAACATGTCACTCATATGCGAAAGTTTAAACTGTGTGTTGCTGATTATTTCTGTTAGAAATTTGTATAATATTAGTATCACAAAAAAAAAACTGGTTAGCAAATTGTTAAATTATGTTTCATCATATAGCAATGTGTTTTTGGATTAATTAGCATTAAAAAATAAAAGAAAACAAAGTAGATATGGAAATAAAATATATACATACATACATACATATATATGAGTTATAGATAAATAATTTTTTTCGATTTTTTTTTCAATTATACCTAAAAAACTATTTTAAACAGAGCTAAATAATTCTACTCCTTTAACATAAGTCATTATGTGTAAATATTTATTTAATAATAATAACAAAGCATTAGTACAATAAGATTTCCATATCTTTTTTAGTACAACAGAGATAGTGTGAAGAATAAGTAAATATTACTTTACAGATACCTTAACAAAAATAATAATAATAATAAAAATAATTATAATATATAATGAGTTGAGTATGACAAAAACTTAAACAATTATTGAATGGTCAGTCTATGTTTGAAATTTGGCCTTTAAAATGCCGTTAACGGCCTTTCACTTAATGTCTTTAATTATTAGTTTTGGTATTTTCAAACATTTACAGTTTATGAATCACTTATTATTTATAAATTAGTTTTTATATAAACATGCACATGTGTATGTGCTACCAGCTAAATTTCATTATCTCTCTAATACTACTGACCCTGCATACATATAATTTATTATATTTCCGAACTGTTTACAAACTGTAATACTCATCTATATATTAATATATTTAGGTTTCATTGTCGGTAACGCTGGTCTGTATGTGACACTACTTCAGTTCGTTATCGCTTATCTAATACTACTATTTACCGTTGCATCAGTTTGTGCAATATCCACTAACGGTGCCGTCGAAGGCGGTGGCGTCTATTGTAAGTTTTTACTTTTTTTCCTATGTTAAAAGAAAAAAAAACTAGTAATGAATTTTTATTTATAGTTATGATAAGTCGTACGTTGGGCTTAGAATTTGGTGGTTCGATTGGTACGCTTTTCTTTCTCGCCAATGTGGTGGGTTGTGCTATGGCTATATCGGGTTGTACGGAGGGTATGATGGTGAACTTTGGCCCTGGCGGTTACTTTACTAAGGGCGATAGTGGCTTATTACCTGATGGTACTTGGTGCCGCTTCCTTTTTTCTACAATTATAAATACATCAATGTTGGTTGTATGTTTGATTGGAGCGGCACTTTTTGCTAAGACATCGGTATTAATTTTGGGTACTGTGACAATATGTTTATTGGCTACATATATAAGTTTCTTGGCTGAAGGCGAAAAAGTGGTAAGTATGGAAAACGCCAAATATTAATGATTATTTTTTTATACTTAAATAAATGTATATTTTTCAGATTGACAGACCAAAAGAAAATGAAATCTTTAATGCCACCACAAAACTAAACTACACCGGTCTCAAGACAGAAACCCTAATGGAGAACCTTTACCCACATTATGTTAGGGATTACACCTCTGATGGTAAAATGGTTGATTTTGCTACAACATTTGGTGTACTCTTCGCTGGAGTTACTGGCATTATGGCTGGTGCTAATATGTCGGGTGAATTGAAGAGCCCTTCGAGAAGTATTCCAACAGGCACCTTATCGGCAGTGGCTTTCACCTTTGTTTCGTACATCTTACTCTCTTTCCTGATGGCATTTACCACACCGGCTGTAACTATGCAAAATAATTATCTCTTCTTAATGCCAGTAAACTTTTGGCCACCATTCACTGCCATTGGTATACTTACTGCTACCTTTTCCACGGGTCTCAGTAATCTAATTGGGTCAAGTCGGATCTTGGAAGCTTTATCGAAAGATCAAGTATTTGGTTCTCTACTGAACTTTGTATTACGTGGCACCTGGAAGGGCAATCCTGTTGCTGCGGTATTCACTAGTTGGTTGCTTGTGGAATGTATACTGTTGATTGGTTCCTTGAACGCAATCGCACAAGTCAACTCTGTATTATTTATGCTTTCATATTTAGCTACTAACTTGGCTTGTTTGGGCATCGAATTAACCGGTGCGCCGAACTTCCGTCCACTTTTCAAGTATTTCACCTGGCACACTTGTCTCATTGGTCTGCTTGGCACACTCATCATGATGTTTGTTATTAATCCAATATATGCTTCCTCCAGTATTATTTTGTGTCTGATTTTGGTAATTGCTTTACATCTCTTCTCGCCGGCCTCACAGGGTACCCAGTGGGGTTCCATTTCGCAAGCTTTAATGTTCCATCAGGTAAGAATGCCAACAAAATTTAATAGATTTTACTTTTGCTTAACGTCTCCGATTTCAGGTGCGCAAGTACTTGCTAATGTTGGACTCACGAAAAGATCATGTGAAATTTTGGCGTCCACAAATGCTATTGCTGGTATCTTCGCCGCGTTCTTGTTGTCCACTTGTCGATTTTGTTAATGACATGAAAAAAGGTGGTCTCTATGTGATTGGTCATGTAAAAGTTGGCGACTACACGGCCGTCGTAGACCCAACGATCGAGGACAACAAATATTGGCTTTCCTTCTTGGATCATATGAAGGTGAAAGCATTTGCCGAAGTAACGCTAGCTCAATCCATACGCGAAGGCGTACAACATTTGATACGTCTATCCGGTATTGGTGCAATGAAGCCAAATACCATAATTTTGGGTTTCTATGACAGCGAAGTGCCGAAGGACTTCTTTGAAGCGTAAGCATTGTTTTTTTCAAAATTAGATATAATAATATTTATTGATTTAAATTTTTTTTTTCATTTTTTAAGCGGCACCTCACCTTACAAGACCGATGGCTTTAATCATGGCGAAATTCAAAACTTTCCAATACGTCGTGATGGTGAAGAGAAGCAAATCGATGTTGCTGAATATGTTGCAATTATGTGCGATGTGCTGCGTATGAAGAAGAATTTGTGCTTGTGCCGTCATTTCCATCGTTTGGATAAGAACTTTATTGCAAAGTGGGTTTATAACTATACAATTTATTATGTATGTATGTGCATATTTATTCTTCTTTTACTATTCTTTTTTTTAGAAGCAAACACTTGCGTTATATAGACGTTTGGCCAATCAACGTTTTTAATCCCAATTCAAATAATCCTTTCGATGTGGTCTCATTATTCATGATGCAATTAGCAGTAATTATAAATATGCTTGCGAAGTGGAAACATTTACGTTTGCGCGTATTCCTATGCGAATCAAATAATGCACAAACAAATGTTAGGTATTTAGGTTTATTTAGTTTCTTATTTTCAATTTTAGAAATTTATATGCATTTTTATATGTTAGCTCATTCGACACACAAATGCCGCAGATGGATATTTTCGCTAGAATGAAACTAGAACAATCACTGAAAAATCTACGTATTGAAGCAGACATTATTGAGGTATGAAGTTGAACCATCCATAAGTTAATAAGATATAAGTTATTTAGTATGAATTGTACTTCCTTAATCCTACTTTGCTTTGAGTTCTAGTTTGAAATATAATATAGATAATTTTATAGATTCAAGAATGGAGCAGTGAATCTGATTTTACAACTCATTCGCGCATATTAAAACAGTTTACAAGTCATGCTGATGAGGACAATGAAGTGATTACCGAGGAAAACCTTAATCGTTCCAAGCTCTACATGCAAAGGTGTGCTAATAACACAATATACATATTGATTTGGCTAATACTAACTAAACGCTGCAAAAAAAAAACACAATTTATTAAAATTTAAAAAATTTAAATTTTTAGAAAATAATAATTTTTTTAAGTATCTTAAATTGTGACAAGTATTATGCTCTAACTATCTTAACTCTAAAATTTCTGCAATTTCTTCCAGAGCCAATCAAATAATACGCGAGCGCTCGGATCAGACTGCTGTTTCTTTTATATATTTAGCGGCGCCACCACAAATTGCCGCACCGGATTTCAATGAGCGCAGTGCACGTTACATTGAGTTGCTTACAGAGTTGACTGCTGAATTACCACCGACAATTCTCGTGCATGGCGTTAACACTGTTACCTCGACTACGCTTTGAGCTGTTTAGAAAACAAAAAACAACAATAACGGTATATGCTTTAAAGCGATCAATTAATGTGTTTTTCATTTCCAAGTACTGAGGAAGCATAATATTGCCGCAAAAAAAAAAAATATGTCTTACAACAAATGATGAATAATTTCTTTTTAATATATACCTTATTTATTTTTTCTTAAATTAATTTCTTGCAAACACGCATCATGTATTTTGATTTCGTTGAAAAAAGCTTAAAAACGTTCTTTAAATGTATGCGACCATTTTTAGCAGAAAATTTCCTTTAACTCAGTAGATGTGAATATTATAATTTCTATGTTGTATTATACATTTAAAAAAAATATCAATTCAAAGAAACAAGTGAATGGAATGTGAGATATTTTTTTTCATAGAATTATTTAGAAGAAATTCTTAGGCGGAAATAAAAAAAAAATAATTATTGTATTTATAACTTTGCAACTATTTTACATATTAACCAAAATCGTTTTACACAAAAACACAAATAAAAACTCAAGACTTGGTTGTCTAAAAATGCCCAAAGGAACTTGAGACGAAAGAATGCAGCATATCAGTGTTGATTTAAAGCAGATACTAGGGTGTTCTTTTTTTTTTAAAAACTTCCATAGGCTTTATAATCAAAACTTTAAAACACTTTACAAAACGGCATTCCATTTATAAAAAAAAATGTGTTTTTCTTAAACATAATGGCAGGATTTCTTATTTTTTCTCTATTGTACCGGCATAATATATAAATAAAGTGTATGCAAATGGCAAAATCTTCATATAATACATCAATAGTAAATAAAAAAATTTTAAGAGCACCCATCATGCAAAATTTGTAATAAAATTAAAATTACATTTATCATGACACTACATTTTGTACACACTAATAATGACTCAAATAGTTTTTTTTATACCCACTGTATTTATCTATTTTTCCTTATTTAATATATTTTATGTCATATAAAACATTTCTCAAATAAACACACTTTTAAAACGTAACATATTAGCCACAGAAAGTAAACTTTTACGTATTAAGTGTAATTAGGTATGTACATGTAAGCATATATATGCATGTGTATGTAGTTAAAATTAAATTTAAATAAATATGAGTTTACATAAACATGTGGAAAACTACTAAAGGCTATCTATACACCATTTTAGTTTTACTCACGTACACATATTTATTGTACTAAAAACTATTGTTTATTGAAAAAAAAAAAAAAAAATTTTACACTTTTAGAATGCGTAAATACACATATACATACATACATATATATTTGGAAACATAAACCAAAATTATTTTGCATTAGCAAATAAAATGGTAAATATACAAGCAAATATAAATCATGTTTTTAAATAAATAAAAAGAGAATCAATTCAAGATATTATATACTTATGTAATTATTATTTGATGGTTTGAAAAAATCACATTGTCAGTCATTGATATTATTAATTATTAGATGTAGTAAAAAGTGTTCCATTATTTTTTCATGAAATTGAATGCTTTCATTTTTTCTTTTCGTGTGCAGTCTTATTCCAATGGTTCTTTAGCTCTTGGGCAATCGATACAGTGCTTACATGACGAATGCCGTAAAGCATATTTTACAACAAATTTACCGGAGTGAAACCTAAATTGTGCATGATTGACTGTAGATGCTGTTGTTGTTGTTGTTGTAACCGCAAAATATATTCCCCAAAGTAGTTTTTGGGGAATGTTGCGGGAGTGACAGTCCTTGGCCGAATAAAAATCCAGTTCGTTCCGGTATAAAGACTCGACTGTCGCGGGAACAATTGGACTTTAGTCGTCTATTACGACAGGCATGCCTTACCGCACGTAAATTCTTGAACACTTCTCCAGCCTACTGAATAGCAGTGAAAATGGAGTATCCAGAGATGATGAACCCGAAACCACAACCGATGACGATGAAAAAGACGTTCCATTACCTGACCATGAAGAAGTTCGAATAGCAATCGCTGGGAGTAGTATCGCCTATAAGGTACTGTCGAGCGTATTGTGTGAAATACTGAAGCCCATCGCCTACAAACTGATTGTACCTTATCAGTGTGGCTTCAAATCTGGTAAGTCAACCATTGACGAGATATTCACCATGCGCCAAATCTTGGAAAAGACCCGTGAAAAGAGGATCGATTTTAAAGCCGCCTTCGACAGCACAAATAGGAGCTGCCACTATGCCGCTATGTCTGAATTTGGTATCCCCGCAAAACTTATACGGCTGTGTAAGCTGATGCTAGACAACACCAGAAGCGCAGTCAGAATTGGGAAGGAACACTCCGAGCCGTTCGATACCAAACGAGGTTTCAGACAGGGTGACTCCTTGTAGTAAGATTTCTTCAATTTGATGCTGGAGAGAATAATAAGAGCTGAAGAGCTGAATTGTCAAGAGTGTACAACTACTGGCGTACGCCGAAGATATTGACATTATTGGCCTCAAAAACCGCGCCGTTAGTTCTGCTTTCTCCAGGCTTGATAAAGAAGCGAGGCGAATGGGTCTGGTAGTGAACGAGGACAAGACGAAATATCTCCTGTCATCAAACAAACCGTCATCGCATTCGCGACTTGGATTCCACGTCACTGTCATAACTTTGAAGTCATAGATAGTTTCGTCTATCTGGGAACCAGCATCAACAACAACAACAATATCAGCATTGAAATCCAACGCAGATCTACTCTTGCCAACCTTTGCTTCTTTGGACTGAGTAGGCAATTGAAAAGTAAAAACGAAAACCAAACTCTACAAGCCCCTCATCGTTCCCGTCCTACTATATGTGGCGGAAGCATGTACGATGACAGCATCTGATGAGTTGGCGTTAGGAGTTTTCGAGAGAAAGGTTTTGCGTAAGATTTATGGTCCTTTGCGCTTTGGCGACGGCGAATATCGCAGACGATGAAACGATGAGCTGTACGATCTATACGGCGACAGTGATTTAGTTCAGCGAATCAAAAAGCAGCGGCTACGCTACGGATGGATACGAATACTCCAGCTTTGAAAGTTTTCGATGCAGTACCCGCCGGTGGAAGCAGAGGAAGAGGAAGAGCTCCACTCTGTTGAAAAGACCAAATGCCGGAAAAGCTTTTTCAGTACGAAATATGTTCTGTCTAACACCATCTAACGGAAATCGATCGGACTTATACAACGCGAGATACATATAAATAAAGTCATCTTTTGAAAAATAATTGATTTCATTTTACTATACCTAATATATAAAAAATTAACAAATATTTCACTCCGAGGCATCAATTTCAAAGAACTGCTCATAAGAGTACAGAATTGAATGTGATATTAAGAATATTTCGATCTATTAGACTCAGCAGTTGAAAGTACATCTTTGCATACTCTAACGATACGATCTGCAACTAACCTGATCCCCCCAAACTTTTTAGAATTTTTTACAGCTTCGAGGTCGATCCTCTCCATTGAGATTCCTTTCAACCAAAGGCACCCGCTTGTAGTGTAAAGTTTGAAAATAAAATGCTTTGTGGATGAGAATGGTCCTACCCTCCTATCTTCAAGCGAACGTACTAATCGGTACTAACGGGAAAAGAACGTGCACTTGAAATCTCAGCTGAGTGGGCAGAGGGATAAGGACTCATTAAATATCTGTAAAAGTCAGAGCTCCGCCTCTTCACGTGTAAGAAGGAAATTTTTCAATTTGACCCAACATCCTGAGGGGCTGATATCATAGCACCTTCCAATTCGGTCAAGAATCTCGAAATAGCGAAATATAAATATGTAATTGGCGCAATGATTTTCGGCCTAGCTCCTCCTCCAATTTGTGGTTTAGCGTCTTGATGTTTTTTCAACAAATGGAAGGACCTACAGTTTATACTAAGCCGAACGACTGGTGTTATTTTTATATGGAGGGGTTGAAATTCTCTACCGAGGGGCGACGGCAAATACAAAAATTAATTTTATATAAATAAAATTTCTATAATTTTTAGATGTTGGTCGGACCCTAACCTTCCGAACGTCAATACGCAATGCTAACCACTCCGCCCTGTGCGGCATACAGAAAGTTATAAGAGAACACAAACTAAACGTACAGTGCGGCCGAGAAAGGGAAACTTTCTGTTAGTATCACTTTATTCTTCATAACAACAGTTCATCCACTTTCTTCAGGTTGAATAAGGAAGCGGATTGAATGGGTATGACAGTGGCCGAGAGTAATGCGAAATATCTTCTGTCATCCAGCAAGCAGTATCAACGAAAACAATAATATCAGCTTCAGAATTCAAGGCACAAGATCTCTTACCAAGATTTGTTAGTTTGGACTAAATTTTTCCTGCCTGAATTGGAGGTTGTTGATGTGTATGACCTTTGCTTCCAATAAGACGGTGCAATATATAAAAAAAAAACAATTCAACGCATTATCTCGCGTCATGGGTCTGTGGATTGGCCTCCAATATCTTGCGATTTTACACTACTGGATTACTTTTTGTGCGATTCTCTGAAGTCGCTTGTCTCCGCAAATAAGCCCGAGACGATTGACGCCTTGGAAAAGTATATTCGGACGCGTTGGAAAAGAAAATTGGATTTTTCTGCTGTAATTTATTCGAGCCAGCAGCGGCAGTTACTTGACGGATGGTTGAAAATTTTCCAGACTGAAAAACAAAGACCAAACTGTAAAAATTCGTTCACCATTCCCGCTGTACACTTTATGGTGCAGAAAGTTGTTGTTGTTCTAGCGGCTAGGTAGCCCCGATTAGGAGGGGCAAAGCTAATTAATCCCGTCGAGGTAAACTAAACGGAGGCGCAGGAAATGAACTGGATTTGGGACCAAAAGAAAATGAGTGTTAGACGAGATAGTCTTAGGGCAGTAAGTATATACATAGGGTATGATAGGGCAATGCTTGTGTTGGGAAAATACCACAAACGATTCGTTGGCAATACGTACTACCATTCAGAAGGTCATAGGTTCGACTCTGGGCCTCATCGTTATATAAATTATTGAAAATTAATTTAAATAAAAATTGGAAAAGCCGC